TCCTTACTATATGGGACGGAGGTACAACATAGTAAAAAAAAGAAAATGTACAATGAAAATTTCGGATCCTCATAAACGTCATCGTTCTTTTCCAGCCGTCCTGGAAAAGAAAAAAGAAAATGTAAGTGCATGTCGAAATACACTCGTATATGCGTAAAAAAACAAGGTCGGCGGAAAAAAAATGGAAAATAAACTCATGAGCACGTAATAGCGTTAAAAAATTGTTTTTTTTGTTTTGTTTTTTTTAATAGAAATAAAAATATATAAGCATATTAAAATTGTTTTTTTTTTCAAAAAAAAAATAATATAAAATGTCGAGAAGTGCCTTACGTGCAATAGTCGTTTAAATGTTCTGGAAATCTCACCCTTCTTCCAGAACGCGTCGTTTTAAGTTTATTTTCGGATACTGTCGAAGTATCTTCGTGTGCGTTGGTTGTCGGATGAGGTATTATTAGTGTCTGAGTCGTGTCGTTCGATTGTACCGAAGGAAAATCGACGTGGATAGGATTTCCTTCTAAATACGCTGCTTTTAAGCGATCGATGCTGATGCTATCGTTGGTTCCGTTCTTATCGACTATATAGTACTTAGATTCACGTTGAAGAACTTTGAAGGGTCCTTCGTATGCTGATTCGAATGGTCGTCGATGCGAGTCTCGACGAATGAAAACGTGTGTACTATATGGTAAGTCAGGTTGAACGAAAACATCAGTTGATTGAGGTCGAGTGGAAGCAGGTTTAACTGAACGCATTGCGTTTGTAAGCCTGTTCGTGTAGGAGGTTAGATCCATGTTCATCGAAGAGCACGAAGGATCCACGAATTCTCCTGGAAGTCGAAGTGTCGTTCCATAAACGAGTTGAGCCGCAGTGTATCCAATGTCAGCTTTCACTGCATTGCGGATACCTAGTAAGACGAGTGGAAGAGCGTCGGTCCATTGTGAAACGTTTGCAGCTGATAGCGAAGCTTTCAGTTGTCGGTGAAAACGTTCTACCAACCCGTTTGCTTGGGGATGGTAGGCGGTCGTTCGGAAGCGAGTGATTCCTAAAAGTGTGGTCAGACGACGGAAAAGATCAGATTCAAACTGACGTCCGCGGTCTGTAGTGATGGTTGAAGGGCAACCGAAGTTTGCTACCCATCGTTCGACGAATGTGCGGGCCACTGTTTCAGCAGTGCTGTCCTTGATAGGTACTGCTTCTGGCCATCGAGTGAAACGGTCTACGCAGGTTAAGAGATAAGAGTATCCATTTGAATCTGGTAAAGGTCCTACCAAATCCAGATGAACATGGTCGAAACGAGCATCGGGAGTTTTAAACGAGCCTAAGGGACATTTATTGTGTCTGATAACCTTAGATTTTTGGCAGCTTACACAGGAGCGTGCCCACTCCCTCACGTCTTTATTCATGCCAGGCCAGCAAAATCGTTCTGCTATAAGCTTGATGGTTGCACGAACACCTGGATGAGAAAGTTTGTGCAATGTGTTGAAGACATTGCGTCGATAATGTTTCGGCACGATTGGGCGATCCCTACCTGTAGATGTGTCACAAAGTAAGGTTTCCTTACCTGTTCCCATCTGTTTGATGCGTAGTTTAAGTGTTGTGGACGATAACTCGTGCTGAAGATCACTGTCTTCTTTTTGAAGCTCGGCGAGTTTAAGAAGGTCGATTCCTTGGAAACTGTTCAAGGAAGTTATACGAGATAAAGCGTCTGCAACTACATTGTTTGCTCCAGAGATGTGTTGAATATCTGAAGTAAACTGCGAAATGTAGTCCAGTTGTCGAGACTCACGGGGAGAGTACTTGTCAGAAGGAGAGCTTAACGAGAAAGTGAGCGGTTTATGGTCCGTGAAAAGAGTGAATTCACGGCCTTCGATATAGTGTTGGAAATGCCGTACAGCACAATACATAGCTAGGAGTTCCCTACCGAATGTGCTGTACCTCGATTCGGTGTCTAGCAACCTTCTAGAGAAAAATGCCAAGGGTTGCCAGGAGTTGTTAACCCATTGTTGTAAGACTCCTCCGATTGCTGAGTCGGATGCGTCTACTGCGATGCTAATGGGTGCTCGGGTGTCCTGATGTGCGAGCATTGTTGCTTTAGCAATCAGTTCCTTGACTGTGGAGAATGCTTTTCGTGCGGTGTCGTCCAAATTAATGGATTTCGCATTTCCACGAAGTTGGTCGGTCAGAGGTTTCATAAGTGATGCGCATTTGGGTATGAAACGTCTATAGAAACTTACCAGGCCGTTGAACGTGCGTAATTGCTTGACGGTGGTCGGTTCTGGGTAATCCAGAATGGCCGCCACTTTGGTTCTAAGGGGTCGGATACCTTGAGCATCGATAGTGTGTCCCAGAAAGTCTAACGAGTCGGTTCCAAATTGGCATTTCTGAACGTTTACAGTTATGCCATGTTTTTGTAATCGTTCGAAAACAAGGTCCAGATGCTTGAGATGTGTTTCTCTGTCCGGACTTGCGATTAGACAGTCGTCAACATACGCGTGTACGAAGTTGAGACCTCGAAAAACGTCGTCTATGAATCTTTGGAATGTTTGAGCAGCATTCCTTAGACCGAAAGGCATTCGCAAAAATTCATAGAGTCCGAAGGGAGTTATGATAGCCGTTTTCGGTATGTCGTCAGTAGCCATAGGGATTTGGTTATACGCTTTAACCAAGTCGATTTTCGAAAAGACAGTTGTACCTTTCAAGGTAGCTGTCAAATCGTGAATGTGAGGCAACGGGTAACGATCGGGAATGGTTTTCGCGTTCAATCGCCGATAGTCACCAGTTGGACGCCAATCGTTGCTGTCCTTTTTAGGGACCATGTGCAACGGAGATGCATATGGGCTACTTGACGGTCGTATGATTCCTAAGTCCATCATGTGATCGAATTCGTTTTTCGCTAACCTTAGCTTTTCAGGAGCTAGTCGTCGTGCTTTAGAAAATACAGGTGGTCCTGTAGTCGTGATGTGATGTGTAACATTGCTGGTTACACACGGTAGTTTCGGTTGAGTTTGTTGTATCCCAGGGTACTTATCGAGTAGTGGTTGATAGAGTGGGTCTATCATATGTTTAACTGTGACTGGGGATACTCTACAACCAGTAAAAGAAGTTACGCAAACGGACAAATTAGTGTTTCCGTCTACTAGCCTCCGTTTGCGAGTGTCGATGATCAGATTGTGGTGTTGTAGAAGGTCCATACCAATGATTGGCATAGAAACATCTGCAACGACGAAAATCCAGTGGATGGGTTTGCGTAAACCCACGTTAAGGTAAACGTACCTTTTGCCATACGTAGCGATCGGTTTTCCGTTTGCCGCCTGTAAGTTTAGGGTCGATTCGTGAAGTCGGTCGTTAGGATTTGCTGGGAGAACGCTAACTTCTGCGCCAGTGTCGACGAGGTAGCGAACTCTCGTTGTCACATCTGTGACGAATAACAGACGGCTTTGTTCGCCGGCTACGGTTGCCGTTAACGCGTGCCGGCTTGGAAGTTTCCCGAATCAGTCGGTTTCGTGTTGGGAAAATTGCAGGGTTTTCTGCAATTTCTGGAAAACTTTCCATACTGGTTATGATACCAGCACCAGTCGGGGTTATCTGTCTCTCGTGGTCTAGAGACAGATCGCTTACGAGAAATGCTTCTACGTGGTGTGCGCGATCTCTTACGGTCGGTACGAAGACTAAGATAACGCGTGAGTGTGTGACATAAGTCGGTTATGTCATTCTGAGTCGTGTGAGGCTTTTCTTTGACTGAAAATACCTCGGTAGTAGAAGGTTTCGTAATTTCTAGAATGCGGTCGGCAGATACAGCTAGTTCGTCTAAGGCGTTGTTCTGGAACGAGACCAGAACTGCTTGCACCTGTTGGGGAAGTTTTGACAAGAAGAGTTGTTTGAATAGACCTTCGTCGAAAGTTCTTGGGCCTATAACCTCTCTCATCCGTTGCAACATGTCCGTCGCAGAACCGTGTTGCAGGTCGATATTGTTGAAGAGTTGATCTAACCTTTGTCGATCGGTTAGGTCTCCTCGTTTAAGAATCGAGCGTTTTAAGATTTCGTAAGGATCGGAAACATCACTAGTAAACATACTAGGTGTTACGTACCTGTTGAATTCGCGCGGTAGTGCCTTGACTACTGCGAGGAATTGTGCACGTGTGTCGATCACGCCGTGCTCGGAAAAGTCGGCTTCTGCGTAGCAAAACCAGGCTTCGATGTTGTCGGGCCAGAAAGGCATCAGTTGAAACGAAGGTGGGGACAAGGTCTTAAGCTTGAGTACTTTAGGTGTCTGTTCAGTCATGATGAAATATGAAGTACGATAATGAACGAGGGGAAAATATATATATATATCCAAGAAAAACACGAAAAAAAATCACAATGTTTAAAAAAAATAAAAAATAAGGCAATGATATATAAAAATCCCAAAAAGGAACAGACTCACAGTTGCAATAAGGTGTACCAGATCACGACGGTCTCACCAATGATGATGTCACAGGTATTCAGTGTTTGACAACGCTTCTACCAGTAACACCTTCTAATATGTTTCGTTCCCACCAAGAGAAATCAAAAGACAGAGTCGAGGAGATCGGAAGAGTATATTTGGCGATGACCAATATACCGGGATTCTCTGATCTAATCTGGCTAGCGATTGTGGTTGATGTTGAGCACGGCGTTACTACACGTGATCTGGTGCGGATGCCTGACCGAGCGCCTTCAGCTAGATGAGTCCACTAAAACATATGGTCAGCATCCAATGTCGAAAACTTACAGAGCTATTTATTTTAGGGATTTATTTACCGCTACAAGGTACTCCATGATACAGTACACGCTGAGCTGTACTCTTGACATTCGCGATACTTCAAACTCTGTTTCGAAAATCAGCATAAACGTATCTACACAAATACACTTAATTAGAGGCAACGATGATGTGTAGACCAGCTAGGATTTAGTTATTTTCATGACCAATTACGCGCAACTTTTGAGTGATGCTGTTGGCGCTGAAGATAAACTAGGCGTTTCCTATGGAACAGAGTGTCTTTAAAGATGCGAAATTCTTCATCATTTCCTGTAATGACAAAGAGGTATGTGTTTGCTCTGCTTTCTGCCTGATTTTACGTCCTTGTGGCTGGATGTTGCCGCTGTAATTCGACTAATGAAATGTGCTTTCTGATGTCTTCGACTGTATATTTCAAAGCTGTTGTATTACGTTTGGCACAGTATGACATCATACCTCTAGCAATATTCCTTATTTAAGCTTCTTTTTGGTGTTCTGGAATCACGTGGTTATAAACCAATTTTCGTACTTAAGGTTGTATACGCAGGACTCATTGGTAGTGAATGTAAACTAAACGACTTCCTCTTTACGAGTCCTCTTGTCTAGTAGGGGCAGATCCCAATGTCATCCAGACAGAGATCATGTAAAAATGTCATACGACTTGACTAGTGACAGACTGATATCGCATCAAGTGTATAGTTTTGAACTCACTTAAGAAACAACCATCTTTACCAATATGCTACGAAGAATGTCGTTAAGTGTCTGAAAATTTGTTTTCATAGGAGAGCCTATATAAGATTTTGCTTATTCTTCACTACTAGTTGTATCTGCGTTGTCGTTAGAAGTCATTCAAATTTGCAGATTAAGTCGTTTCAGTTTTACCAATCAAACTAAGAGATAAAGCAAAATACTAATGTCCTTCAGAGCTACTGGTGACCCATTTTAATTGAAATTTTTCAAGAGTAACTCAATTATGTGGTGATAAAGCTTAAAATCTAAAGAAAGTTGGTTAGTAAATCCATCCACACTCGCGCTAATGTACATTTTTATGTAGCGTATGTTTAGTATAACTGAATAAATACAACTGATTTCTACCCACTGTTAACTCAGATTCACACTCAGAGATTACTGTTCCTTCGCAGGTTCCATCGTTGTCTTAGAGAACAGCCGATTGTTTTATTAACTAGTGCCATGTCTGTTTGCCCACTCATTTCTAAGCAGCCGTAGTCATTCGTGTTGGTGGTGTGTGAGTTTGAATAGTAGATATTCTACTCACTTTAGTTGATAGAAGCTTGAAAATTCATCAACCTGCTTACTATTTTTGTGTGGTACCCGATGCCTAACATATTCGATCAAGTATTTGCAACTTACTCTTGCCTCCTACTATCATACACTAATTTTCACAGCTGACAAGCAACGTATTGCTAAATGCTGTGCAGAATTTATAAATCCCTATCATGCTCTGAGGCTGGTGTATGCGTTTTGCATCTTAGTGGATACAAAAGTTCCAATAGAAAGATTCATTCAATCTAATCTCCAGGTTAGAATTATTCCGAATGTATCTAAGAACAAGTTAGCCATTTAGAACATTTTGAGAAAACAGAAAATCCTAATAGCAGCTTAGCAATTCGTTTAGCTTAGATTTGACCTTAGTTTGCAAAATATCATATGTTCAGAGTCTTTATAAACACCATTGTTACACTGACGGCTGCATATTTAATCTCCACAACATATGGTAACTATACAATCTTACGGGATCGTATCTTTTGTTCTTTAAAGTAACACGTCTTGTAGATCTTGTTGAAGCCTGTAATAGTTTTAGTCTTTGGAGGCATATCTACTGACTTGGATATACTCTTCGACGGTTTCTGGAATTTAGGTCTACCTAAAAATATAACTATATACACTGATATGAAGATGGCGTCCCAACCAAGAGGTTTTACGGGGATCTCGTTAAAAGGCATACCAAACGGTATAGGCATCTGAAATAGTGGATCTGAACCATGAATACCACAAATAATCGTCATAGTTACCTAAGTTTCACTCAGGTGCAGAAAATATCGATGTGAAAGGGTTTACTAAAGGTTTTATAAAAATGTATATGAAAAGATAATTTATCCTGTCTTCAAAGTTGCTCACTCATTTGTTTTTGTCTGTTCTTTATCCACTCGAAATTTAGGTAGTTGATCTTCTTAAGTCTTTGGGTGCTGTGAGCCATCCCTTCCTATCAGAAAGTGTACGTTTTGCTATCAGTGATGACCCATCTCTTGCGGAAGTTGGTGAGGCGGAAGAATTGTATGCTGTCCCAGTTGTTACTGTAATGCATTTATTCCCTTTTCGCTAACTTGATTTAGAGTCATTGGGTAAAACTCTCTGTTGAAGCACAAAAATTTTTGCCGTAAGCTTTAATAATTTTTCCTATTTCAAAAATCTTACAGATTTCGTCCTTTTCATCCGGACTTTAAACATATATTCGCAGGGACAGTAATTACATGCAGTGGAGTATGTGAAAATTTTTGTTTTGATGCCATCTATACTTTTAATAATTTTAGTTGAGTGTGGCCGATCAGCTTTCAATATGGGCTCATGTTACTATACATGGAGGTCAAATGTGTCATTACTTGGATAAGTCTGTTACTCATGTGGTTGTTGCCAAGGCGGCGGGAGTAAGTATATCGTGTGTATTCCTGCCTTTTTATCTATTTTGTTAGTATGGTTAAATGCGTAAGTTCATTGTCCGAGTTTTCCTTAAGATCCTTGAATGAAAATGTTGTTGAATGTTTACTATTCCTCGATATCAGAGGCTATAATTTGTCTGCATTTTTAAACATTGTGAGTTTCTATGCTAGGCGGAGTATAGCTTTTTTGATGTTTTGCAAACGGTATGTTAGTAGGTCGGTACGAGAAGGTAGCTTCAACACATAAAGTATAAGTTTCTACCCACCAGTTTATGCTATCTTCATAATTTCAGGTAGGTTATTTACACTACTCAGAGACTTTTGTCTGGCTGTTTTTTTAGTACAGTTTTAAGAATTACATTTAACTCTGAATTCTTAGTAAATGTCCTTTGTACCACTTTTCCAAAATACTTATATAGCTCTTTTATCATTAGTAGTTTTCATATCTTTTGGTATTATTTATATAGAATTTCTACAAATATTGTACTAATAAATTGGCGAATGACAATGCTACTTATGATGAGAATAGTTCGAAACCCTTTATAGTTACACCTGATTGGATTGTTGATTGCTTATCACAAAATAATTTATTACCATGTACATCATATCATCCTGATTTGTTAATTCGTACATCATTATCATCCCCGTCTAAACAAACCTGTTTAAAGAAGCCTCAACAGCCACAACAACAATTAAATGAGCCTAAGGAACTAGACTTATGTCATGCTAATAATTCTATAAATGACTCGATAAAGCAAGAAAATAATTTAATTATCAATTCTACATTAGCTAATGATTCAATAATGCATGGTGATAACAATAATATTGTCGTCGAAGTTATTGGTACTACTGCTTTGACTTCTAATGCAAATATCACTGTTACTACAAATGATAATATAGTGAATTGTACGAATACACCACAACTACAACCACCACTTCCACTCCCACAACATCAGCAGTCACAAATTCATACAAATAAACAATACTTGGTACAAACTAATCAACTCATGCACCATACATTGCAGTCTACCCACCAGTTATCGACAGTATTATCGGGCGGAACAAACGTACAAGCAGCCACTGGAATAAGCGTTCAACAGATTGTAAGTCGCAAACTTTTTCACAGTTATTTCTGTACAAGATTAGGGTATGCAAATGGGAAAACGGTTTTATTTTGATAATTTATTAAGTTGACGTATACATTTAAAATAAAGAAGAGGCTTATGATAGCTTACTGCGGTCATTCATGTATTATGAGAAACTAGGTTGCTGAGCAATGAAGTTCTGTCGGTCAAAATATAATCCTATATGTTTATTTACAGCTGTCACATAATTTTCATAAGTGCTAGAAATATAAATTGGAAAGGTGTGTTTCGAAGAAGTCCAAGAAATTTTGGCGTTAATATCTCATCTATTAAAAAATAATTTGATGCTACGTCACCGGTCCACACTGTTATCTAGTTGGGGAATAGGTAACCTCTGGATCACTTTGGTTATTTGCAGGGTTTCATAAACTTGAAAACAGTTATCTCTTAACAAATCTTAACATGAATTAAGAAGTATCGTTTGGCACTTATCGATTTACATCACCTATGTTATACTGACGAGTTACCTAATTGTGTATGAAAGGACAAAAATAGTGCACAATAATTCTCTGTATAGTATTATAAGATTATGAAACATGGTCATTAAAGTTGGGTAATGTAGAGAAAAAGTCTTTCGATCGTGTTTTTTGGAACACTGACCTTATGTGAGGAGATTATCGAATAAACAATGCTGAAAGTAAATAGAAATGAGTTTCTTTAATAACATGGTACGATTTGTATTAGAACTAAGTAGCACTGTACAGGAAATAAATAGCTTCTGATAGAGGTACATTTCTAATTAAGTCACTGTTTTATTTAACGGATTGGTGTTCATAATTCAATTAATAAACTCATTTGTGTGACAAAGACAGTTTCAAAGGTTTTTACTTTCGAGTTCAGGTACTTTCACAAAAATTATTGTAATGAATATGTATGCAATAAGTTAGTTATATAATGTATTATGCATCTTTGCGGTAGCGTAATTTTTTTCCACATCTAAATGTATCTTGAAAAAGTCATAGAAAGTTTAGGTGTTAGTGAGCTGAAAAAAAGTTTTAGAGATTAACTCTAATAACTGATCCATCTTTTATTCTCTGCAATATCCGAGACAAAGTTCATAAACCTGCCCACAGTTATTAAATTGATTATTTATTGCCAGTAAGTATAGCAGATTAATTCACGTCATCATAATCTTCGTTTCAATACAGTGAAGAAACTTCGAATAACGTGTCGCAGTTAGTTATCACCAATGTACAAAACAATTCAAATGTTCATTATCGGTTGTACTTCAAATGAACAAATAAACGAAATAAAAGCAAAAGAATGAAAATAATAACCATGATAGGCAAGATTGAACGTAGATTTATTAAAATCAGAAGTTTCATAAGAATGGTTCATTTCTTAAAGATGGTTTGCATTATAAACCGAATATTTGCTAAAAATAACTTAAAAACTAGGGAGTTTGAAAAGGAATGAATTGTATAGAACATATAATTTCAATATAGAACTTTATCGTTTTTCATTTAAACTACTTGTAAGTAGGAAGATTTGACACATCTTCAAAGTTTCAGTGAGTAAATCCATTTCGTTAAAAGCTTGTTTGCTAGTTTATTGGTTAGTTGTTGTATTCAGGTTAATATTGGTTGGCCATACAATCCCGTCGACTGATTGATGTTAGACATATCAACAATGGGATTCCGGCTGTCGCTTCGAAAAGCTTGTTTTACGTGCGTATATCTGGGGATCCTGTGACATCTTCTGGTTTTGCTGGCGTTGGTGTCTCGCTAAACGCTAGAGCTGAAGCAGCACTGATCGATTGGGTCTCTATTAACAGTTAGTTATGTGCTGTTAGATTAGAAATTTCCATCAAAGTGAGAAAAAATCGGTATAAGAGACGATGTCTTTTCGTCATCGCCTATTTTTCGACAGATTGCAGCCCGTATTCGATCAGGGATGTTTTACTACCAGTTAACAGTTCTTCTACAGAAGGTGCGTTCGACAGATATTGTGGTACTAGTTGGAGACTTGAGTGCTCAGGTCGAGTGTCTAGGCAAAGAAGTGAGTCGTTTGGGTGACCGATGAGGACTTGTTGGTCGCAGGTTAGATAACAAGGACCGTTTACTGCAACTGTGCGCAGACTACAATCTGTTTCTGGCTAGCACTAACTATCGACACAGTCATCGCCGATATACCACCTGACACCCTTCCTCAAGCCTGGACTATGATCGATCACATCGCGATCAGCTACCGCTGGCGTGGTTGTGTACAAGATTGCTACTCCTTTTGGAGTGCCTATCTGGACTCTGATCATGTCATTGTTTGCGCTAATCTTACCTTACGTTTCAGTGGCCAAAAAATTCATCGTCCTAAACGGATCGATGTCATTAAGTTGGTCACGGCTTCTGTTGCGACTAAATATCAAACCGAGCTAGGTTCAAGGTTAGCTAACATCCCACGGAAAAGTATAGATGAGCATTGGCTGCAATTGCACGACGCCATGGAAATGGCTTCGCGAAACGTCCCGCCTATAAGCACTGGGTTTCTTCAGGGTCATTGCAACTAATTAAAGGCCGTCGATCTGCTCCGGGTGACCTTGGGTTTGATCACAAACAACGACTGTTGCGTAGTGTGAAAAACCGCGAAGCGTGGTGGTCTATGCATGCTAACGAGTTGAAAGCAGCAGGTGCATCTAGCAACTGCCGGGAGCTCTTTCAACTCACCCGAGCCACTGGCAGCAAGAGGTCTGGTGTGAGTGAAATAGTCTGTGAAACTAATGGGATCAAAAATATCTATTGACGTCCTGGGCAATGGGCAGACGTTTTCGAGGAGCAGTTCAACTGGTCTGCTATCCTGGCAACATCGACCAGACTGTCCCGCCCTCCATCGGTCGTGACGACTAATCTACCTAACGAGGTGGGAGTCCTCAAGGAACTCCGACTCTTGGAGCGCTATAAATCACAAGACCCAGGTGACTTACTCCCGACCCTTTTCAAAGATGGTTTTGACTTTCTGGTTAAGGAACTGACTGGGTTATTTACAAAGGTTTGCCAGTTAGAGAGTGTTCGAACATCGTGGAATAAGTGCGTAGTCATCCCTATCTTTAAAAAAGGTTCTCGTCGTTTTTGTAACAACTATCGGGAAATAAGTATACATCCGATTGCGTCCAAAGTATCGGCTTCCGTCATACTTCGTAGGTTGCTCTAAACCCGGGAAAGATTGACTCGCGAGGAGCAAGCTGGTTTTCGCTTTGGTCGAGGCTGTATTGATCATATCTTCACCCTCCGCCAAATGTTAGAATACCGTCATACTTATCAAAGACTAACTTTCGTAGTGTTTCTTGGGGTCAGGGCTGCCTTCGATTCGTTGGACAGTACTGTTCTCTGGGATTGTTTATTGAAGAAGGATGTACCTGAGGATTTTAATAATACCCTAAAAGCCCTATATACAATGACCTCAAGCAGAGTGAGGGTGTAAAACCACCTTTCTCCACTGAGGTTAGACAGGGTTGCTCGATCTCACCATTTCTCTTCAGCTTTGTCATTGATAACGTTCTGCAAACAGCTCTGATGGATGTAGGTATTGGTGGTGTAGATTTGCTGCCTGGAGAAAGACTTCTCAACCTTGAGTATGTGGGTGATATTGTCTTACTGTGCGATAATGCCCAAGGCATGCAATCCGCATTTAATCAGTTGGCAATCAATGTCCGTAGGTATGGTATGTGCTTTGCACCTTCGAAGTGCAAGGTACTTTTACAAGACTGGTGCGACCCTGTTCCTGCACTCACCCTGGATAGTGAGCGGATAGAAGTAGTGGAGAAGTTCGTGTATCTAGGTATGTGTGTAAGTGCTGGTGGTGGCGCGGGTGATGAAGTCAATTCAGGCATTGTGAAGGCCAGAACGGCTCTTGCCAATCTGAGCCATCTTTGGCGCCTTCGTGATGTCAGTCTGACTGTAAAAGGTCAGACCTACAACGCGTCGGTGAGAGCAGTTTTGCTCTATGCTTGTGAAACCTGACCTCTCCGAGTTGAGGATGTTAGACGACTCTCTGTGTTTGATCATCGTTGTCTCCGAAGGATTTCTGACATCCAGTGGCAACACCACGTTAGTAATTCAGAGGTTCGGCATCATGGGTTCGGGAACAGCGACGATAGTTCATTTTGGTGTCACCACATTGATACATCAACTTCTGTGGCTTGGATATGTACTACGAATGTCTTTCCAGAGAATTCCACATCGCACGTTATTTGCCGATACTGGAACTAGTTGGAAAAGTGAAGAGGTGGTCAGTGTGTGACCATGGTGTCTTGGTATGGTAGGACGTTGTACATCACTAGCATATGTCGGCCCTCCATGACTCCCTGGTTGGGGTCTTAGATATAGTGCAACACATTGGCTTGAGATGTTATCAGATATGGCCCAGAATAGAAGCCAGTGGCGATCCTGCTGTAACTTTATTTTACTTTCTTCATAAAAAATGGATGTAACTTCTTTAACTGGAAGAATTATTTCTAGTTGTACATGTGCTAACTGAACTGCCCCTCTCATTATTGTTATTATTTCACTATCATACACTAATTTCCGTTCTTTATTGTTCCTCTTACATTCTCTATCTCTTCACATTCTCATTTTTCTTGTGTGGCGCATATGTATTTGGTGCTCGTTTGTGTCAATACTTGTGTTCAAATAAATAACAGTCGCCATGGGTTCTAAAAGTGCTGAGTTAGACCATGATGGAGTCGTGGATGCTCACTGCTGAGAAGTCCCATAGTAGGACAGAATAACTGTCCAGTGCTTCCTGGTTTTCAATGGTTGTTCAACTAAAGTCAATCCAGTGATTTCCGCAACCTTCTTATGCTGATCCCATTTGAGTATAACACACCGCTATTTAATCAGTTATTACATAAATAATCACTAGCACTCTCATTGATTTCGTTGAATTTTACAATTTCATATGACTTATCCAGTTAGTATTCGGTGTGTAGAGTCTTTTATTTAGTAAACATTACTGAAATATTTTGAAGACTGGTAGTTTATATTATTTGGTATTATGTATAAACCAAGATATGATCATAAATGTTGTCCATAGTCAAGCGGAATAGTAATCAAGTCAAGTATGAAAGCTCTTCCAGCGGTAGAAAAAATAAAGACAACAGGAATACTCATAATTAACTGCATGGAAGATGTAATTGTAAAAATGAGCTCCGAAACAAATATATGTCACACATATAAGAAAATGTGATTGCAGAGAGATAGAGGAAGGAGACAGGCAGGGAGAGTATAATCAAAATAAATAATTAAAGAAAGCGAACAAGAATAGTTTGTAGTAGGAAATTCAGTTTTATTAAAAATACAACTAAGAAAACTACAATCGGATTACCATTCGTTTCTATTTTGTTCCATATCTGATAACGTCTCAAGCCCCTGAGTTCTACCATCTCTATGACCCTAAGCAGGAAATCGTGATAAACTGACAGATTCCAGTCCCATACAACTTTCATAGCAAACCATATCACAAAAAATTACCACTTCTCCCCTTTTTTCATCCTGTTCCTGCTGTTTATTTAACTGAAGCAGTAATACCTGTGGTTAAAACACATTCATTTTAGCCTTCATATAGCAATTTTAAACTCGATGTTACATAACGCTTCGGTTTAGGTATCGATACTATATCCCTAGTTCTCACATTCAAAAAAATGTAGCACGAAAGTGACTATAAACCTCTATCATGTTGTATTAAATTAATATCCAATAATATTTACCGATTACCTTTACTTATATGATGATTTCTAGATTCATGCCTCGAAAATTACTGATTGCATATAGTGTTAAAACTTATAGTCGTGTAAAATTATTTGTTATTAAGTTATTAATTCTATGAATTCCCCATGTTATCTGGGTTTTTTTCAATAACTTATTCTTCGAATTATAATTGTTTTTAGTATGATCTTTCAGTAATATAAAGTGATAATGTTAATCAAAACACCAATGTCCTTTCACATCCGTATTAAATTTCTCCCCTCTGTTTATTAACTAATTAGGGTTGGATCCGTAAGGCAATAAGGTTAAAAGGTTTTTATCAGTCTGGAAGTACTGATCTCTCAGCTGATTTTATTCTTACCAGATACAAGATTTTACCCACTTTTGGTGTATTATCGATTAGCGTTGTTCTTTTAATTTTGTTGATACTTGTTTCTAGAGCTTGTTTCATGGATTCGGATAACAAGTCGTCGAAGAAAAATTGAGATGTGTCGAGCATTTAACGTACAGACAAAGTAAAACTGTGGTTGAGACATAGGGAAAACATTCATTAAATATGTATTTATAATTTCTTTGTTTATGTTTTGTTCTATGGCGTCTATACAACATTAATACGTGTTTTTTGGTTGAATCATTTATAGTTGTTAAATTAACTGCTTTTTACACTCTAATAGTACACTGGAATTGAAATATGATGTATTCTACTAGGCGGTAGGTGGGTACATGACTATTTTAGTTGTGTAAATGATGTATACACCTCGAAATATTTCATCACTACTGTTCTAATTGTTTTTCTGCATTGCATTCTCTTTATAGAATATGAGAAATGTTGATCAAAAGCCACCATATGGTAGTGGTTCATCACCTGTACCTCCGAATAAATCTGGTCGTGGTGGACATTCACGCGGCGGCGGCAGCGGTTCAGGTCGTAGTTCGTCTAAAAAAGCCTCTCAAGATCAGTTTCGAAGTGGTAGTCAGCAACAACAACAACGTTTTCCACTGTCATCACCTGTACCAAATCGTTATCCAGTTGCTCCAAATATGGGGGCTGTTAGTGGAGGGGGTGGTGTTGGTTCTCAGCGATTCGCACTGAATCGTCCACAGGGTTCTGTTGCACAGGTTAGTTAGAAGCATACTTTCTATATCTATGATGTTAGAGTTTTGTTTCTCGAAATTTATTTAAACTAATTATAATATGTGATTTCTTGTCATCTTTGAAACAGATTAGACGACATTAAACCTGACAAATCACCCATAGATTTGTTTACGACAATACAACTAAGTGATGATAAAAAATTCGAGAAAAATTCGTTTTTCTTCTCGAATTATTGTGTCTGTGCCCAATGTTAAAATAGTGAAAAAGAATTATAGCTCAAGTGGATGATTTTGGTGGAGTTTCGCTCTCTCTCACCAAAGTTCATATACTTGTCCTGATGTTGTTGTTCAGAAAAACAAAATCTCCGCGATCCAACCGTTCAGGTTAGAGAACGAAACTCCACCAAAATGCCCAATGTTTTCTGTTGCCACTGATACTGCTACTATTTTTTCTACTACTCTGTCAGGTGACTTTAAAACATTGCGTTGTTTTGATACAGTGTGACAACTTGGACTAACTCATGTATGTACTGGATTCTACTTAATGCTTAATGATAGCTTGGAGAGTATAAGTAATGTACTTAAAATCTATCGCAATGCACCAATCTGTATTCATTCACTTATATCTTTTCCGTATTATTTCATATTCTTTATTTTATTTAGTTATGTCGAACGACATTTCTTCATAATACAACAAATATATTTTTAAATAAAATCTTGCCTAGTTTAGTTTTTCAAAGTCATCATACTTACTTTTGAAACGTTTAGGGTTTGTGGACTCGATAACCTTGAAGACCGTTGATTTTGTTATGCTATACTTTTAGTGATTTTACACTAAGGTTATTTGGAATGAAAATCACCTGTTGGAATAAGAAATGCTTGTTATGAGAGGGATTAGTGCCTAACTGAAAATTACTATTCACTTCCAATTGATTTTTATCTTTATAGTTTTGCTAAGTACTGTATATATATATATATATATATATATATATATATATATATATATATATATATATATATATATATATATATATATATATATAATACGTAAATATTTCATTTCAGCGTTATCCGTCCACTTTACCAATTTATACTGATCCTGCAGTTCAACAAGGGCTAATGCAACAAACTGGAGGGTCTGGTAAGTAAATAACTTTTCATTTATATTACACAGTATATAGTCATATTAATTGTGCTGAATAGTTCAATTTTACTCACCCAATAGACAATGTAGCCCATATACTTTACTCCATACAAATATTTTTATGCGTGTTGGAGATAATTGATTGATTAGTCGTAGCGAATTTTTACCTCGTTTCTTTGATTTAAAAATAGTTTTCATTTCGAACCAATCTGATGGTTTCGTGATATGTAAGTTACCGTTAAATCACTTCGTTTGAAATTATTAATTAGTATTTTCAACGAATTGCATTGGATAACATATCATTTTATTCAGTCATCAGGTTTTATGTATTTAAATATATTCATATTTATCTTAGTTTCAAACTGTTTTATACTATTTATCAGACTCACAATAAATTTAGTCATTATGAAATTGAATTAACTATAATCAGACACCAGAAACTGTAGTAAAAGTAGCATAGTTAAAATATCTTTTAACTAATGATTTACAATTGCAAATCCCACTTTACCTACTTCAGTATGGGCAGGATGGTTGCATTGTCCTGGTACAGCCGAGAGTGGGTAGAGTCCGCTCTTCCTCTCCAAATGCTCTTACATGGCCACGCGTATACAGCCACTGACATAGAAGTCCTACTCACTACCTTCTCAAGATGAGGGTGTTGTTTACGAAATTGAAAGGACGAAAAGCGAATGTCCGACGCTCCAAAAGTGTTGGTGGATATGGGAGATCCACCTAGGGGAGTTGGAAAACATTGATTCCAAACCAATGGTACACATCGGCTTCAGGATCCCAAAGAAACAAATGGCGTGTGAACCTATTGTTCGTCACCGACTACCATGGGACTGCATCTTCTTACGATGCTCCACTGCCTTGTGGATCGAACCTTTAGGTCGAAGGCTATGTGTGGCCCCCTAAGAAAACCACCTGCTTTGGCGTGGGCAGTCGGGGCAGTATTCCAGCTCTCACATAAATCGAATGACGAAGTAAGGCGCATATGTATTCGGTGCCCCTTTGTACCAATATTTATGTGTTCAAATAAAGAAATAGCTAGTTTTTGCTTACAAAACGTTGGAATGAGAACAGAGTTACATGAATTAATTTAACCATAATACAAAGTTCTTATTTGGTATTATATTGGTCCAGTGTTTGATTATTTTTAAATCGCTGTATCATAACATTATCAAAGTATTAGTATTTACTAATCGGTATTTTAAGCATGCTGTTCTTGTGTACTATATGTTACTTCAAGCTAATTGATGAGGTTGTAAATTTTCATTGATTAAAGTGGTTATGGTGCGAATGATGTGTATACGCAACTACCGCTCACCTCAACATACAATGTTGGCTGAAGTCGAAGTTGGAATGAGAAATTAAGTCAAAACATTACGTCAGTTCATGAAATCATTGGCTGTTAGTCTGAATTATGTTGATAGATGTAAACTATCTGTTGGCGATATTTGCAAAAACTATATCCAGTGGTTCGAGACACTGGGTGACATAGCTGAAAATTTGTCAGTGTGGTAGAGATACATTCCGCTTCTATCTTCCTCTGAATCTTACGTCACATTATTCCCACATAAATACCTTTGCATTCCTTCTCAAACCATATTTTGGATGCTTAGCCTTTCTTGCTATCATTTCCTTCGCAATTGATGTTATCAATCTTCTTTCGTGTTGATATAGCATGGTAACCTCTGGACCAATCGACATCCATGTTAGTCTCTGTATTGGTTCTGATCGACTGACTTGAGGTAGACAGATTTGATTTCAGTAAGGTTACCATAATAAATATGAACTAAATATACAGTGATAATGAAAGAAAGCACTCACTAACTTAACGCAGTTTAAAGTCCTGTGCTATGAACAATATTTCAGTTTGTGTTTACAGAGAGAGAAAGAGAAACATTAGTGTTTATCTATGTTAATACAGATTTATGAAATAAGAATTGAAAATTAAAAAAAGTCGACATTACAACCTTAACCTTAGTTAACTAAGGTTATAATATTGTTTCATGTATATTACTCAATTACCTATCTTGTTATTCCAGTATTTAAAATGTACACAATACTCAAAATCTATACATGAAACATAATACATGGAGAGATTAATTCTTCGACAAACTAGGTTGTAAAATTAAAATATAAACTAAATGGTCTTTTCAGATATTTTTCTCTCCTATTCAAAAATTATATTTAGCTTCTATTTTAATAATCTATTAATTTACACTTATCTACACCTATCCATGTATAAACATATATATATATATTTATATATTTTGTATTATAGATGCTCATGGAAATCCTATTTTATTAGGAACTAATTATTCCACTTCCAGTGTATCAACAAATCATACTAATGTAATTTTGACTAATAGTCTATTACCGGCTACAACTTCTACAACAACACTTGGCGGACATTCAGTAATTGGTAGTAATAGTAATAGTGGTGGTGGTAGTATTAATAATACTATCACATTGACAACATCATTGACTGCAAATACAGGTGGTAATGCTCTAAACAGTATTACTGGGAATAGTGGGGGAGGAGGTGGCAACATCGGCGGTGGTTCTAGTAGTATTAGTACTAATACTACCACTATTACTGCTACCAGTACTACGACTACTGGACATCATGGCAAGACAAGTAAATCAAAGTCTAGCAAGCACATGCAGGAGCAAAATTTGAATGAAGAAGAAAAAGATGCTATTGTTATGCAAAATGTGAAAAATATTCTCAGTTTACAGCACACATGGAATCGGGTAAGTGTTATAAACAGATATATGGAATGGAAGATAAAAGCAACAACAACAGATAACAGTAATTACAAGTGATTCTGTTAATAACCTTCCCATTATTATATAGTTGCTTTTATCGTCTATTCTTTTTACATTATGGACTGTTTGATTGATTATATTCATTCTGTCTTATGGAATCTTTGAGACTATTTTAATGTTTTAGTGAACTCTATTTTGTATAAATGATGACGGTGATGCTTCTTTCTATATCGTCTTCCGCTAAAATGAACTATTCACTATTATGAAGCGTATAAGAATAATTTCGCTATTATTCAACTGATGTGTGTTTAATAAAGCGTAGATATCGAAGGAAATAACAATTTGATTGAACCTAATTATCTTCCCTTTCATAGCCACTCAATACTACTGGTAGTAGTGATTAAAGAAAATCGACACTTTTAAAAGAAGTCTTATATTGAGAATTATTTTATAGGAGAGTAATAGATAGGTATATTTTTTATGAATGCGTGTGCCTTTTGGGGGGGGGGATAGCTTAAGGGTAGCGTGTTTCTATTTTGACAAGGTTTTTGTCGTATTGTTCCCCTTCTTTGAAAAAGTGTTTTTATTGTTTTAAATTTGTAATCACAACTAGATATTTCTTAGCTTTAAATTGTTGAAATGATATTTGGTGTGTTTTAGATAAATCTAACTCATAACGTGTTGTACGAAGTTATTTTATTTTGTTCAACTTCACAGGAATCATCTCATGGTCGAGGCTCTTCGTCAGCATCATCCTCTGAAGCTCATTCATCCAATAGTAATACAGGACATAATCAAAACGGACCAAATTCATTTTCTGGATCTCAAGGAGGAAATTCATCTAATTTGAGCAATCTTATTAATTCTAGCTATGGTAGTTCATCCAATTTGACCAATTCACAAATTTCTGGAAGTCATCGAAAACCGAAATCACCAAAATCACCTTGTCGTGCTGTTGGAAGTAATCTTAGTCATAAAGTCTCACCGAAATCGCCAAAAAATGCTAAAGTTACCGGAGCCACTAAAACTTTAGCATCACCTCATCAACAGCATATTCAACAACAACAACAACAGCCATCTATTGTGATGGCCGGTTGTGCTGGTTCCGCACTTCCTTCAGTTTTGCTAACTGGTAGTTTACAACAAATGCAATATCGACCGGCTAATAGTAATTCACTTCAACCTACATCCACTCAACTTCAACGGTCTACGAGTATGCAACATTATTTAACTACCACAGCTACAATTGCATCACATCAACCACAGTCGTCAGTACAAGGTGGAACATCAGCTTATATTGTACAAAGACATCCATGTGGTCAACTTGTAGCTAGTGTATCACAACAAACAACGCATGGACAATTGCATACACAGTCATTTGCTGTTCAAAGTAGTTAGGAATTTCTCAAATGAATTTTATTTTTATGTGTACAAATATTTTTGTTTATATGGGTATTTGTGGTGATTGTAGTATTTTAACAGTTGAATTCACAAGTCGATCTAAGCTACACCACTATTGAAAACCTAGAAGCATTGGACGGCTTTTTACTTCTAATATGGGACTCCTTAACTGTTCCCATCTATTGGAGTTCAATCCGTGTCGAGTGTGAGACAGTTATCCACCTCAACAATGGATGAAGGGTTGCGCAATATCATTGATCGATTGAAGTTAGGCATTAACACCATTGGATGTCATTTCAGTAGTATAGAATCTAAGCGTCCGTGCACGAGACCTAAGGTCCTGGGTTCAAGTCCCACGTCCTGAATTGTGGGTGCGCACTGCTGAGGAGTCCCATTTATTTTATTTATTTATTTGAACACATAAATATTGGTACAAAGGGGCACCGAATACATATGCGCCTTACTTCGTCATTCGATTTATGTGAGAGCTGGAATACTGCCCCGACTGCCCACGCCAAAGCAGGTGGTTTTCTTAGGGGGCCACACATAGCCTTCGACCTAAAGGTTCGATCCACAAGGCAGTGGAGCATCGTAAGAAGATGCAGTCCCATGGTAGTCGGTGACGAACAATAGGTTCACACGCCATTTGTTTCTTTGGGATCCTGAAGCCGATGTGTACCATTGGTTTGGAATCAATGTTTTCCAACTCCCCTAGGTGGATCTCCCATATCCACCAACACTTTTGGAGCGTCGGACATTCGCTTTTCGTCCTTTCAATTTCGTAAACAACACCCTCATCTTGAGAAGGTAGTGAGTAGGACTTCTATGTCAGTGGCTGTATACGTGTGGCCATGTAAGAGCGTTTGGAGAGGAAGAGTGGACTCTACCCACTCCTAGCCGTACCAGGGCATTCAGGGGTGAGGAGTCCCTTACAAGGACGAAACGGCTGTCCAGTGCTTCCATGTTTTCGCTGATGGTCTAGCTTAAATCGACTCGTAAATTTAACTTAAAATATTTTTGATTAATGATAATGATGATGTTATTTCTTTAGAATAATGTATTGTAGCTATAATTATTTTGTCTGTATAAATGATAAGTATTCCGACGTACTCGGACGGAGATTTTGTGTCTAGATTTCTTGTTAGTCGCCACTCTTCAACACTGTCTATTTGTAATCTTAAGCGAACTAATGTGTTCACTGAGATTCAAACTCGTATCTCTCACTTCCACATTATCATATGTTACTATTATGAGCTTTTCAAGCCACGAGTGACCTCTTGTAGAACTGAGATATTTCTTATTATAAATTCAAGTTATTTCGCTGATTGAAGAAAACTTTCATCTGTATCCAAACGTAGACTGATTTAAAAATATGAGTCGGAATTTTATTCACTAATCACTAAATGTTTGAATCTGCCTACAGCATCTTTATGTGATGAAACTTGAATATACCTTATTGAAAATCAGTTTAATACTAATGTTGTAATTCCCCTCATATATATATATATATATATATATATATATATATATATATATATTTTCTTTTACCATAGATCCTTATCAACGTACTGGTAGTATATTGACTGCTGTTAATAATTCAACCGTAGCCCAACAACAACAAACCCAACCTCAGGTAAATGTTCAACATTTTCAACATACCGCATCAGTTCAACAGCCAACTTTATTAGTTCGTACTACTCGTCAACCATATCAACAAGTAAGTCTTTATGAATTATCTATTGAATGCGTGTATGTTCATCTTGGCATCATTTATTGATTAAGGCGCTTGACTCTCAGCCACTAAGTACCATATTGAAATTCCACTCCATATATTTCGGCTTGCGTAGCCGGATAGCATAATTAGCACTCACTGAATTCAAGTCATTCATTCGTATTGATTGTTTGGATCTTTCTGTCGATGTAATGGACTGCGATTGATCAATTCCTTTCGACATGTATGTATCCTGTGCGAAACACCTCGATATTGCCATTAAGTCACAAGCATTTTAGGAAAAGTGAAAGGTTGGTCAGTAGTGAAATCTAGGACAATCGTTTTGTCTTTATTTAGGACTCGTCAGCTGGATGTATTTGCATCCCAGTATGGGTGTTTAAACTGGGACTTTGACTAAGTGCCCTTCGCTCCAAAATGCTATGTGGATAATGTGTTGAGAGTTTGAAACATAGGTACTGGATCCGATTCCCGGTATGAATATCAACACTGAGGTTCAGTTATATCTAGGTGATGAGTTTTGAATAGGAAAAATTTTGCGTCCTGGACTCTTCCACTAGTCACTACTGCACTCTACTTGAAATGCTTGTGACTTATAATATTGAGGCAATCTGCACAGGGTCCGCATGCTAAAAGAGACTGATAAATTCAATTCATGTTAAAAATGATTTTGAAATTGATGAAAAGGATTTTTGTTCGATCACCTGTTTCAATTGTTGAAAATTTCATTTTCGTTTATTTTTAATTTTAATAGAATGATAACGCGGAATCACAGTCAGATATGACTATAATCAGTTCAGATGGTTGTGGAGATATTTTACTAACTAGTAACCATGTTAATCCACAACATCCTTTGTCTTCTAATCATCATCAAATTTCAACAGGCCATACTATTCAATCATCAAATCATTTGTTTCAATCAACTCATCAATCTGGGCATAATTCAACAACTATTGAACAAACACCTCATAATAAACAAATCGTTAATTCACAGTCATCATTGTCATCATCACCATCAATCACTCAACAATTATTATTGCAGTCTACTGGTGGAAGTAATGTAGGTGTTGGTAATCCTGCTGGTCAACTTATACAAATCAAGTCGACACCGTATAATTCGTCGCCGGTACAACAAGCTTTGTTATCGGAAAGTAACCAACACCATCCTCATCATCATCACCAACAACAACATCATTTGGCTACCACAGCGCCTACTACTGTGAATAGTAATTCACAGTTAACACCTACTATGATTATTGATAATCGTACATTACATCATAATCATTCACAACAACAAGTTATTCAGCCAAATTGTAGTTTAGCAACAACTTCAACACATCAACAACAACCACACCACCAACAGCAAGCGGTACAACTTCATTTCGCCTTACAATCACCTACTAGCAATGTTAGTAATAATAATAATACCCTGGGAAATAGTGGTAGTGTCACTAATCCTAACCAAGTCAAATCACCATCTACATCGAATATTCTGTCTCAGCAACATTCAACTATCCCAAGTGGTGGTAAAATGACACAATTACAGCAACAGATACAAACACCTTCTCAATCGCCTACACGTCATTCTGTGAATAATCAATTGAATCGGCATTATATACAACAACCTCAACAGCCACATCAATTCTCTGCTGCATTGACGCCTCATCCTACACACTATCAACAACAGCAGCAGCAACAACAAAAGGTTCAACTTTCACCTGCTGCTGCCGTTCCTGTTGGGGGTGGTGGCGTCGGTGCTTCACCACAGTACCAAACAATCCATGGTTGTTTTACACAACAACAACAACCGCAACAACAACATCCACAACAGATCATATTTCAATCACCGACTGGACAACAAATTATCGCTGCACCACAACATCAGTCAATGTCGAATACAGTAAGCTGTATTATCATTTCTTCTACATAAAAAATAAGTGACTCAATAGTAATGTATATTTCTTTTTATATAACTAACTTGAACGCATAATTCAAAAGTTATATAGCTTTAGAATGAGAGTTTATTTATTAGGAATAAATGTAACTGTAAATCAGTGCTTTCTGACTAATTATTCAATGTTTCATATTATGCTTGTAAGTCACAGATTGGAAATAGTGTATGCTTATCATTACGGTTCATTTATATAGGTATTATGGTTATTACCTCTACAAATAATGTTGTGATATTCCTTCTAGTGGTAGTGAATACATAAGTTAGTTACAGGTTCTACGCTAACTCCAACTGTTTCCGTATCAGTAGCCAGAATGCATCACTGGGCTTCGAATAAGATATATATCATCTAAAAGCAGAATGCATTAAACATTTTCTTGATAAATCAGTTTACTTTAGGCCAGTGATTACTTCAACCTAAAATTTCTTTTATAGTTTGGAAGGAGTTTCACTAACTCAGCCCCAAGTGGAGGAATGCTTCTTCGTTCTGTCCTACCATGTTCTAACAATACGAATAATACACTTGGAAATGGTTTCCATCAAAATCAATCTTCATTAGTCACATTGACGACTAATCAACGTGCCGTCCCACAAATAACTAATCGAGCTCCAGCTAACAAAGTTCTTTTTCAAACTAGTCCAACAGCTCAGGTAAATACTAGTAATAATACTGTGCATTCTACACAACAACAGGGGGTGCATCAACACCACAACCACCATCAGCAACAACAACAGCAGCAGCAACCCATTCACACACCTCCTCAACAAATTCATCCAAGTATGTTTTGTATATTTTAATTTATTTAGTATTATGAAGTTTCTAAAATGACATCATTTTTAAATTAGATAATGAATTTCCATATTTTTCCAATTGATAAATTTTCTGACAATGCTTGAATCGGTTTCATAAGCTCTTCTAATAACCCCAGTCTATCACTACATGACAACTTGAACACGAGAGAAAAGACGCGTAGTGTGAAAAGAATGCTTTGCTCCAAGGTTAGTTTATGTACAGAAAACGGAGGGTATCTATAGTATTTCAGACGGCCTTGAGCCCCTGGAAAGTTCTGGGACCCTGCTTAACGTAGTAGCAGGATATGTAATTATCCAACCAGAAATGTGACATGTGACCATTCACTTTCTAGGTATTTCTCAGAAACGTCTACTCAATACTGACTGGATAAAACGTTTTCCAGTATTTTTAGGGCCCTATTGGGCTTTTTCGAGAAATTTCTTGGGTCTCACCAACTCAAATTACGAACCGCTCTTAGCTAGACCACCATTGAAAACCAAGAATCATCGGGCAGCTGTCTCATCTTAGTATGGAATTCCTCAGCCGTGCTCATTCACAGACCTGGCACAGGGAATCGAACTCAGTGCCTTCCTTTTCACGCTCAGGTTTGACCTTTAGATCACCGATGTTAGTTTCTGACTTCAAGGAATTCATGGTTTTGGGCAGTCCTCACTCATTTTTCGTGATGGATAACTGTCATAATCTACATGATCATTTTTTTACAGTTATACGTCCCAATTTATGTTCCAAGTTTCATGCTAGTACGTTATCTAAAATTACAGAAATGTTGGCTCCCAGGTTTTCAATAGTGGTCTGACATTGGTTCATAATTTAAACGAAATCCGAAAATCTCCACAACCTCAAACTGTAAATAGATCAGTCGAATTTTTTATTCTAATAGCTATTGCCCCAGCCCGTCTGTAGTATTCTTAGTTTGATAAATTTAGACAGATAACCATGAACACGATATGTTGTTGGCTGTATGAACCATTCGTACTTAATAAAAAAAATAATTGAACTGTCAACAGTTTTAAATACACCTTCTCTTAACCACACTGTAAGCTATCCTCATGCAAGAAAATACGAATTCCTAGAAAGTCTTCCAACATAACTTGCTCCATAAGAGAAGTTGAATTAATAGATACAGAAACAGGTGACTAATCTAGAAGCTGATGAGAATTTATTACAAAAAATATTCTTTATTCATATATTTGTGTTTTTAAACATAAAATAATAAATTGTTTACAAAATGTAGGCAAAGATAAATTATAAATTCATTTACTCAACTAATATTGATTTTTAGAGGTATATCACTTTCAAAGCTATCTACCATAGGTTATGGTTATCCCCCTCAATTATAATCTCAGTCTATCATAATGGTGTTTTGAGTTTGTCTGTTTCAATTGATAGAAATTTATTTTTTCCATTTTAAAAGAAGGTAACAAGATCCGTCTAAGTGTTGGATGATTTTTGTTGATTATTTTTCCAACTGCATGTGTAGCATTAGATGAGAATAAACGATATTACAGTGTCTTTATCATTGTGAATATGGAAATCAGCAACATAAAAGATTATCCTAAGACTTTTTACATCTGATAGTTACTATTCAAAGGTCAATTTAGTAACGTTCACTGATTAGCGTGAAATAGTTTCACTATCTATTCAATAATGGAGTTATTATTCCTGACTTAATTCATTTACTTTACTGCACTGTTAATTATTATCTTTTGATCGATATTTATATATCTTTTTACTTATTTACTTTTAGGTGGGATTATTTCAAGCCAACAGTTAAAAACAAATCATCAAATAGTACATGGACAGTCAGTAGGACGAGGGAATGCTCAAATGGTTATGGGTGATTCATCTTCTGTCAGTGTGATCAATGCTCAAAATCATCCTCATCAAACTGGCACAGTTCATTCTCCATATCATCATGTAGCAGGGCAAAATTTAATACATAATAATAATGTTGATCATTCGTTTAGTCCACGTCCTACACATCATTCTCAAGTTGCACAAGTACCATCAAACAATCATTCTTCATCTACCGTTAATGTTGCCAACGGTCAACCACCTCGACATGCATCTCAGATACCTGTTACTACAATTGTACAATCTGCAAATCGACAAATTTCTTGTAATTCAACACCAATGAATGTTTCACATTCAACGCCTACAATTATAACACCTGCAATATCATTAACCCCCACTTACTATGGTCATGACGGTAATCCTTTACCGTCTAAACCGGAAGAATGTTTAATTGGTTGTGTTCTATTAATTTTAGGCTATCGGAATGTACCTGAATCACAAAAAATTGTTTGGCGACGTGTTATGCGTTCACATGGTGCAGAAGTAGTAATGGCTTATGATCCTAATAAAGTTACACATGTTATTATTGATTGTCAACTAGAAGAACCTGATGTGATTAAACAAGTACGTTGAATCCTTCATTGTAAATGTTAACTATTTTTAATTCCCATCATTGGCTCACAAAGTAAACTCTTTTAGTAGGTAAATATAGCAAATTGATTGATGAAGCTGTACATCTATCCAACCACCGCCTTCCTCGATATACAATGTTAGTTAGAGTAAAAATAATCTGAAAAAGTTGTGACCAACCATAGCAAAACATAGTATCAATCTATGAAATCATTTACTACTTGCCTGAGCGATGTTATTAACTGCAAATTACCTGTTGAGATTCCTTGGGATAACTGTGTTATGTGGTTAGAGACTTTGGTTGCCACGGCTGACAACTTGTCAGAATGGCACAGATGCAATCCATCTTTATATTCCTTTAGATCTTTGGTTCTTGTATTCTTAAATATATATCTTTACATTCCTTTTTCTCAAGGTACATCCTGATTATAATTCCCAGTACGGTCTTTTTGACTTATCTGCTATTGAATTTCCACTGAATTAAATGAAACTCATTATTATTATTATCATCGGGTAGATACGTTTTTCGGAAAATAGTTGTATCACATGAGGGCCCAATGGTTAAAAGTACTGATTACGTAAACTGATTTATTTAATAAAATTCATACTCTTTCTATGGTTATTTCCATCACTCACCTGCTTCGGTTTGGGCACCCGGGCAGTATCACAGCCCTCACACATATGGAATGAGATTTGTGTGGCGCATATGTATTTGGTGCCTACTTGTACCAATATCTATGTGTTAAAATAAATAATAATAATATTTCCATCACTATCATTTTGTTTTCTGTATGTGTTTGTTTGTTTTAAGGCTTTATTAGATCATAAACGTTTGGTTACAATTTATTGGGTTAATGACATACTTGCAAAAGGTAGAATGATCGCACCATTTGAAATTTTACACTTGCCATCACCATTTTCCAAAGATATCACCTTTTCATTTATTCGTACACAGGTAAGTGTGAATTTTGTATATGACGGAGATGGGAAGGTTACAGGTTTATCTTAAAACATAACTCGTATTTTCTTCGTCTATATTTTAGTAATTGTATGTTGTATTTACAATCTATATGCTGTAATAATTAAGAGGTTGTATAAAGGTAATTAGATCAATAAGTGATTGGGTGATCGCTCAAAATAATCCGCAGATAATGATCACCATTCTTACTCCATTTCGCAGAGGCGATCGTTATCAAACGTTTTCAACCTGACCTATGTATACAGTAGGAAAGTTTGATTAGCCTTTCCCTCCCATAGTGACTGGACATTTGTCTAATAAACTTTTTCGATCTTCATCTTTTCAACCTTGTCCCCAACCTTTTTACTATTTTTTATTATTATTTCGTCTTCTGATATTCATCTCATATATAGTCTGATTGATGTCCAAATATTTGTTTATTTTATCATGTTGAGTGTATATTTTCTTGAGTGTTTGTTGATCTTAATATCTAAACATATTTTCAGACCTATTTACTTAACGGCCTATTCAAATGTTTGAATCAATCCTGTCTTATATTTGCTTAAAGTCAGTGATTATGAATACTAACTCTATGTACGTACCCCTGTGCTGCTATATGAAACCCAAGGGATTGTTACAGTGGCTAAATGTTGACATATTTTCCTCTTTGTTCATCCGTTGTAACAGTAAGAGATGAATTAGATTAGAATACATAAATGATATGTGGAGAACTAGTTGTATGAGCTGAATTGATAGAAAACTTCCGTTATTGTAAATGGATGAAAAATATTTAGTATTGTGGAACATTTTTAAATATTTTTCTCTGGATAGTCACGATGTGAACGCAGGTAAAAAAAGAAAGAAATTTGTGGCATTGTTGCACAATTGATGCTGAGAATTCATTACTTCAACCAAATCCGTGATGTTGGATGAAGCCATTATTATTAGTATTATTATCATCGTTACTACTATTGTTATTGTCAGTAGTTTACTTACTGATGAGTAACTTTTACTTTTACCACTATTAACAGTGGTAGTGATATAAACCTGATGTATATATATGTATATGATACTAAACTGTGATTTTCAGGATTTATGATATGAGAATTTCGTGTTGTTAGATTGGCAAATAGAACGCTGATCAAACTGATAATCTACATTTAAATAATGTGGTGGTCAACTGAATAACTCATGATATCAGATTATTAATGTTGGCCGCTTGTAAAAATAAACTCGTAACATAAAGAACAAGACTGATAAGCAAACAACTACTGTTCTTCAGCAGTACAGTAACACAATTTTGTGTAAAATAATAAATAAAAGCGTTCTTCGTTTTTTCACATGTAGGTCATATTCATTAACTGAGAAAATCTCAGTTATTCTGCTGATCTAAAGAAACTTCCGTACTTGTTTTCCTAATAAGATTATTACTTATAAATTATTTGATATTGGAACGATTAGATTTAGTTATAAGCATACTTGATATACAGTTTAATATTCACATTCCACTTCTCTTATTTTGAATTGTTTTTTTACGTTTCTATGGTAGTATTCTTAAATTGCGTGTTAGATACTTTTTCGATCATTCAACTGTCAGCTTGTTTATCTACTTATTGTTATTATTATTATTACTATTATTATTATTATTATTATTATTATTATTATTCTGACACATATGTATCTACACATTACAATTACGTAAATGCTTTTTAACAATGTTAGATTATATCACTAACTGGTTTCGAAGGTAAAGATCGTCAAAAAATTGAAATGATCATACGTCAAATCGGTGCCACCTTTACTGATTACCTTGAACCGTCCAACACATTGTTAGTTTGTAAACAGTAAGTTATTCCTTTTCTTCTGTTCATCTCATTTATTGTTTTATGTATTACTATTGTTGTCATTGTTTATAATATGAAGCTGTGAATATTTATCAATAGATGCTGACTAAATTAGTAGGCTAGAAGAATGCTAGGTATGGCTAAACCGAAACATGGGATTAGTGCATGAAATTGTTAATTATGTAGACTACCTTTTCGAAGTCGTCGAAATAACTACTTTCATTGATTTAATGCGTTGGGTGGTATGACTTGGAATTGTTTAGAGTTGCGCAGATGTATTCAGTCTTTATCTTCATTCCCCCGATACCTACATATATAACATTTTCATCTTGTCTTGCTGAATCATACTCTCTGCGTTTAGCCCTTTGTCTTTATTACTGGTATTACATTAATTCAGTTTCCTTGCTTTTGATTTTGTTCTATTAAGGACGTATTGAAAGTTTAATCAATGCACACCTATGTGTCTCTTTGTTGTTGAGACTCTTGACTTTTAACTACTGGATTCAAATCGTACATCGTTTAAAGAACTCGTTAGTTTCACACTGGTCATCACAACGAAAAATTTTTTTTAAAAACTGAATATGTAAACTTGTCAAATCGACAAATAAACTACATTAATTAATTATTTTATTTGTTTGTTTAAACACATGTACATTGGTACAAGGAGGCACCAAATATATATGCGCCGTATAAATCATTCGATTTATGTGAGGGCTGTGATATTGCCCGGGTGCCCAAACCGAAGCAGGTGGTTTTCTTAGGAGGCCACACATAGCCTTCGACCTAAAGGTCCGATCCACAAGGCAGTGGAGCATCGTAAGAAGATGCAGTCCCATGGTAGTCGGTGACGAACAATAGGTTCACACGCCATTTGTTTCTCTGGGATCCTGAAGCCGATGTGTACCATTGGTTTGGAATCAATGTTTTCCAACTCCCCTAGGTGGATCTCCCATATCCACCAACACTTTTGGAGCGTCGGACATTCGCTTTTCGTCCTTTCAATTTCGTAAACAACACCCTCATCTTGAGAAGGTAGTGAGTAGGACTTCTATGTCAGTGGCTGTATACGCGTTCATACATTTTCAAATAATAATTCAATATTATCATATTAAAGGTCTAATAGACCCTAATTGATGTCATTCTTTTATGAAATACAGATTCCTGTACTTGATTTTTGGACACACGTTATGTCATGAGTGTTAGTGACATTACTAGATTATCTAAATCACTGGATTGAATAGGAATAGAACATTGTAACTAATAAACGACATCTCTGCATTGGACACTAAACACATTTTATACTTAGAGTGGTTAGGCTGCTGTTAGCAGTGAAGTCCAGAACGCACTTTTTTTCCGGTTGGGACTCGTCAACTGATCACATCCCAGTGTTGACGTCAATATTAGAATTTGAACGGTATATCTTTCGCTACAAACATTTCGAACAGACCATGCATTTTGTTTCACTCAATGAAAATGATGCTACATTATTTCTTTCCTAGTTTGTTTGTTTGTTATGCCATTTATTTGTTGAACAGTAGAAAATAAAGGTGTTAGTTATTCAGTCTACCCCTTAGTGTTATTATTAATAATAATTGTTACAAAATTTGTTCAGCATTAATCACTGATGTACTTTATTAATGGCTTTAAAGCTCAGTGACGTTGTCTGAAACTGTGAAACTAAGTGGCTCTGATTCGAATCCTGCAGAGAACATCAGTTTTATGAAGATTTTAGGGAAATCTTGGTGGGGAATATCAACTAACGCAAAGTATTTACACAGGATTTTCTTCAGACTGCCTGTAGCTACTTAACATTACTCATAACATCACACATTAAGTGTGTTTCTGACAAATTTTTTGTATGATATATTATCAGTTTATAATCGAATTTCTGGTTCAGCTACCGATGGGCTATACTTATTTTTTTCCCTCTAATTAATCTTGTGTTTGTTTTTATCATTACAAGTTTATTGTAATAAATTTTAGACCATCGGGTAAAAAGTATGAAATGGCTCAACTATGGGATATACCATGTATCAATGTACGCTGGTTACAAGATCTTTATTTTGGTGATTTAACAACACTATCTTTACCAATACTTCATAAATATTTATGCTTTGAAACATCAGATGTAACAATTTCACTGGAACGATGTACTCCACGTGTACAAGATTTGATGGGTAAGTTTTGTTCTCATTCTTTGTCTTCCTATCTTTTTTTTCGTTCATACTATTTATCGTTATTAAAATCATAATTTGAGAATAATAATTAGTGTGACTAAATAAACTAATTCAAGGGACTTTAACCAATAGTTGTGTTTATCCTGAACTGTAGGTATATCAAAAAGAAATAGCTTGTGTATTGTTAAGAATTATCTGGAAATACAACTATGATAGTGTATATTTTTAAATATACGTAAGATTGCAATGAAAAATATAGTTATTTGATTTCTACATTGACTAGAACCGCGAAAGAATGAAATAGATTATAGGACTGATTATATTAAGATCATGTATTAGTAATAATAGGACAGAATTAGACAAATTTCTGCCTTATTGTCAGCCGATTAATGATCAGTCTGATGAAATATAATTAAACTATTTCCTATTAATCGATATCATGCTGTGATTAATTAAGCATTAACGATTATGAAAGAAATTTAACGTGTTCTCTAGCGTCTCAATACCTTCCTCCCACCCAGTAATTGGATTTAGATTTGATCTGTAGACATATATATATATATATATATATATATATATATATATATATATATATATATATCCTCTAAATCAATATTATTGTCACAAACGATAAACGTGTCGTCCATATATCTGACGTATAGGTGGAATTGATTGATCATTGAGCTTAGTTGGTCGTTTTCTAGTTTTGCCACGAAACAATCTGCTAAAATCGAACCCAATGGAGACCCCATTGCGATCCAATCCCTCTGTCTATATACTTCATTATTGAAACTAAACCGGACATTAAAAGTACAGCGTAACAATAGTTCTTTCAAGTGTTCAGTCGGCAAACCTATATCTATGTTGTTGGAATCAATATACTCACATATATAACAAATATCGTTCCGGTTAAAGGTACGCTAGTGAGCAAAGAGTTAACGTCAAGCGATAACATTTGTTTTCCGGAAGTATTAACGTCCTTAATACGGTCAATAAATTGAAAAGTATCATGAATAGAAAATTTAGATACTTCAGTTGTTATCATAATCATCTTTGACATTTATGTATTGTATAAAATTTTTTCCTGTGAATTTCAACATCTCATTTCTTTCTGATGGGTAAACTTACTGTCTAATTTAATTTTGTTTTGTTTAATGTTGAACAGTGTACAATATCAGCTAAATAATAAATATATACTCAGAGTAGGAAACTAGTTAATTGAACGTTATGTTTTCTGTACTTGTAATCATTACGTAACAAGTAAATGAACTCGTACATTCTAAACATACATGTATTCATTAGAAATTACATTAATTCAGTTTAGCTAATTTACTTACCAGTCAGTTGTTCAGCTACAACGTAGGACCAACTACATATATGCATCGGTCAAAGTTGCCATACCTCATTAGCATAACATTATGAACGCCAAATTCATAGAGGTAGTTACTTCAATGGTGGTAATATATGAAAGAAAGATTGTCTATAAGGATATATTACAGAAAGAAAGAATTATTTGGTAGAAGGAAAAATATGAAGCGATCTTAATCTCATAGTTTAAAGGAAGACAAAGAGTGTATACACCGACGCCATTGTGATCGATTCTGAGCCATGTCACCCAGAGTCTCCAACCATTGATTATGATAGTCAAGCGAACCCCAACCAAGTAGTCTGCATCTCCCAACATGACTCAGACTAGAAGTTAGTGACTTCAAGCACTGATGACACGTTTTGTTTTGACCACCCCATTGTATAATAAACAATATTTGTGTTATTCATCTAACATTCGTTGATTTTATATTCATTCCATTATGCTCTTTGAAATTTTATTCAAATTAATGTATAACACAAAACTTATATATTTCACTATTATTCGTATTATGAAACTTATCCACTAGTAAATAACCTATAAATTAGAAAACGATAATAAATATTTTATGTTTCTTTTTTGTTCTTCAGTTGGATGGCAAAATCCAATTCGATTAACTCAAGAAATATGGATAGTAAGTGTATTTATTGATGCTAAGATTGCTTTTTCAATATATTCATATATATTGTTTATGTTCCGTGGGTTAATAGTAATATTACTAATCTTGTTAATCAATTAAGTGTTGTCTAGTTGAAATTACAGTCTACTGAATGTTTTATTCATTGAATTGTAAACTAACAGCTTAATTCATCTATTTTTCTTAAAAAAACAAAGTTTAAACAACTTTGAAATTTAAAATAAATTAGTATCTAGCACTGATTGATCTAACCACGCATACTTACTTACACCTGTCGCGGAGGAGCATAGGCCATCCACCAGCATTATCCGTCCAACTCTGTCCCGGACAACTATTTCCCGTTGCAATTCATCCTTCTTATGGCTACTCCCAATTCCCGACTCAGTGTGTACTTTGGTCTTCCACTTTTCCGTTTCCCTTCAGGATTCCAATACAGGGCTTGCCTCGTGATGCAGTTTGGTGATTTCCTCAATGTATGTCCTATCCACATACAACGTCTATTCCTAATTTCTTCTTCATTTGGAAGTTGGTTTGTCTTCTCCCAGAGAAGGCTGTTGCTGATGGTATCCGATCAACGGACATTGAGTATCTTTTGTAGACAACTATTTATAAATACTTGTACCTTTTTGATGATGGTTGTGGTAGTTTTCGAAGTTTCAGCTCCGTAGAATAGAACTATCTTGACGTTCGTATTGAAGATTCTCACTTTGATTTTGGTTGATAACTACATATATCTGTTACAAAATAATACTGTTTTTTCAATCGTATTTAACTGTAATGTTAACTTTTGGATGGTATTAATTAACAGAATTTAGTTAGTCTGATAAGAAACATATCTCAGTAAATATTTCGACACTAGACTTATATCACTTGTGGTATTAACAACGTTATTATTATTTTTTGGAACTATTTTTATGATCTAATTCATATTCCGTCCATTATTATTTATGTTATAACTTACATACATCTATTATCCCTTGTAGAGCATAGGCCACCGGCCAGGAATCTCGGACCTGCTTTATCTTGCTATCTCCTTTCCAGTTGTTCCTAAGTACTTCTCATGTTTTTATGTCTACCTCCAATGTTATAATTCAAACACCACAAACATTTCTTGTATCTATATATATATATATATATATATATATATATATATATACCATTATTATATACACTGTGTTTACTACTACCATTATTTTTATTATTATAACTATGTCAAATATTCTCAAGTCCAGATATTAAACAACCAACACTATCCATAATGACTTCATTTCCAAGATAAATGTTACTGATAATTACCTATAGAACACTCAGTTCGTATGATTCATTTTATCCAGAATAAGTTAATCTAATAATGAAACTGTAGTAAATACTAAGTTCACTATTTTCATGTCTCTAATGCATTTCAAGTTACTAAATATTAGTTTATCCAAGTTTCTACTACTCATAATTTAGTTTTGTATAAATCCTCTCCTAAGTACTATCCGTTGACTGTTATTCCTTCTAATATGTGTTATTAAATATGTTATATTTCCTGAAGCATGTGTAGTTGAAATTTTAAACTTTAACTCAAAATTCTATCAATCTACAATTTACATTGTTTATTTTTTATTTATATAATTGTTAAAGATTATCATGTTTAATTATGAATAATTAATTTAAATAATCCTACGTTTTCCTCTCTCTCTTCTGTCAACTACTAGCGTTCTACTAAATTATCTCATGATTTTGCTAATGAAGAACGTGAACGTAAGCGTAAACTTGAATTAGAAACTAGCATAAATTACAATGATAGTAGTAATAATCATTGTAAAGTTAAAAAATCCAGGTGAGTAAATCACTTTAAACATATCCAGTTAATATGTTTTAATATTCCAATTTTTATTCAATTAAGAAACTACATAATTTAAGTCAGTTGTTTATTTCTACTATGTTTTCATAATGAAGTTTTTAACCAGTTAGTTAGTCATGAACAATATAGAACTTGGTATATATGTGCATCGGTTCAAGTTGTCGCTTTATGTTAGCACAAGAAAATGAAATTATCAAACTGAATACTAAAATATTAGAAAGCATAGATGTATCAGTCATCAAATATAAGGAATATAATTTGAGAACAATGAATGAACAAAAACTACTAAATAAGAACCCATAATCTAATAGAAGGCAAACAGTGAATGCATCTGTACTACTCTGTCAATTGACCTTATTTAACTCTGATCATGGTTATCGTGCTGATTCCAAATACATACTCTTCATTTACTAACACAACCTAGTCCAACAGTCAATGACTTCATGTACTCATGTTGTATCTTAGTTTCCCCATCATATTCCTACTCTTAGCCACTGTAGTTGATAAAAATTCATAGCTTTATTGGGTGACTTCCCATCTTTGTTTGTGTCACGATGCATGAGCAACGTTCCTCAACTTCAAGAGACCAATTTTCACAGTCATAAACTAAAATTGACCTAATTACTCTACAGTATACTCGTTCTTTGCTTAACAATTGAATATCTTGCCTACACCACATTGTAAGGGTTATTTACGTACAAAATATATATGCCAGTTTTCAATATTTATTCTTTATAAAATCATTTGTGAAATAGCTTAGTCACATTATGACCAAAGTTCTCTAATCAGTTGGTAATTGAAATAAGAAAACAATCCAGTTCATTTTTGAACGTGAACTAACAACCTTCTAGTGTCTACTTAAAGAACTAAGAAACTCTTGTTTATATAGTATCATTCTCATCTTATTCACCGACGGATGTGTCTGGGGGTCAGGTGAATTTATGATCTAACAGCTTTAATTATTTCTGACACGTTAATTTTTCCGGTCGATATTGTTTTAATTAAAGCGCTCAAGTTCCACTTCAGTTTGAGTAACTAACGCCCGATCTTTACTGATTGGTAAATCCAACGGTTTTTATGCCATTGGTTTTGTTCTCTAACACTAGGTACTTAACTGGATGTAAATAATGCTCTACATGAAACCGTTGTATTATTTAATACCTGTTGCCATCATATTATTATTGGTTCGAACTCAGTAACCCAATTGACATTGTCTTTTTTGAAAGTCTAAGCCGCCTACTCTGATTCTCATTGTTCTCTTGGTCTGGTGTAAGTTGGATGAGGAAGGTTAAAAAGACCGAATGAAGACACAACATCAATCTAGAGCCACACTACGAAATATGATATAGGCCTTTGTAAGCTGTGCAAAGTCGTTTATGGTTGGAGACGTTAGGTGATAGGTTTCAAAAAATTGTCTTAATTTCAAAGTTACATTCATTCCCCATAAATTACAATCCAAATTTACATTTATTTTGTTTAGCTTTCACTACAGGTGAAATTTTTATTCCCCAACTCATTTTCGTTGTGCAAATGAGAAGTGTAATTTCGTGGATCTACGTATGTTCATTCATGGCAGTTGATTAGTTATTTGTGACTGGCTAGGCAACTAAGAGATTTACTTGAAGGAAAGAAGTGGATTGAACTGTCAAAGAACCTGATAAATAACATTCAATAATGAAAATAATATTTTTTCCATCAAAATGTATTCTTTTTTTATTCCTTGCAAAACTGTTTTCTTTCTTTCTCATAGATGTTTATTAACTTCATTAACTGATGAAGAGATAAAAATTGCAATGTCATGTCGACCAAGATATGAAATTCTCTTGTTAGAAGCTGAACAAAAACGTGAATTACAAGCGACTATGAAAGCTATTGCTGCATCAGCTGCGGCGGCGGCCGCTGGCGATCCTCAGAGTACTCCGGAAAGCGAGACAAGTCTTCATATTTCAGCTGCTGCCGCTATTGTTGCGGCAACAACTATCACTGTTTCGCCTGTAACTACTATTACTACTACTACTACTACCACCACTACTACCGATAGTAATAATAATAGCGGTATTGCTGATTGCACTAATTCAACCCCAAATATATCAGTTAGCACAGTCAATAATGATAATGTTGACACAATGTCTAAAACTAACTCGTTGATCCTTCATCCGTCCAATACTAATCATAATATTGTCGCTGTTAGTCAGTCATGTTCTGTTGATTCAGTTGAAATATCTAATCTGCCAGCTGATATTGTTTGTGAGGAAAATAATTCTATTATAATAAAAATGGAATGTGACAATTACGTGTCTTCGGTTGCGAATGAATCCAACGATAATAATAATAATAATGACAATAATATTACAGATTCTGTCAAACAACAACAACAAACTGCCGAGGAGTCTAACTATTTGAAGCATGAAGAATGCAAGAAAATTAAAGAAGAATCCAAAGTAATGCCACAAAATACTACCCTAACGGATGAATCGGATTCTGACTATTCTCGATTACTGAACGAAACCAGTCATTGGAATTGGATCCCTCCATGGCAGATAAAATTGTCTGCTGCAGTGAATCTTCAATAGTCATTTCTGAAAATATTCCAACTAGTGAAAACATTCCTTTATCTCCTAATCACGATAACACTGTTGGTGGTGTGGTTGCTAATGCTGATGACGCAATTGTCAGTAGTGATAACGACGTTCAAAATGACAACAATATGAAACTTGATTACAATGTTGTTACCTATAGAATGAATACGAATGAAGACTCGATTCGAATGGTAAGTGTAAGTCGATTTCTTTGACAACGCAACACTGACTCTCTGTTCAACGTTAGATATTTAGTTGAAGTGTATTTGTGCTGGGAAAATGTTAAAAGTGAATATATCAAGTTAGTTTCCGTATAGAACACTGACTTAGTGATTGAAGTGATTGGTTTTTTTTAATGAGATTGCGGGTTTCAATCTCATTATATTCCCTGCTGTTTAAGTAGTCAGATGGCATCATGACCTCCTTTGGCACAGGACCATTTATTCGGTAACTGAGTTCCTTTGTCTTGTGAATAGTAGACGAAGATTTTCTAACCAAAATGGATTATTTTAACGATCTAAAGTATATCCCCACTAATGAATTCTGTTTTTAAAGTTCTATGTTCATTTTTATCAGATTTATGCGAACAGTTTAGCTCATGAATGTTTATTTGTAACCCTTTGTAAAAAATTTATACATTGTTTTTAATTAGACTTAATCATTTCCCTATTAGAAATACTCTTGTTTAAAATTTTCTAGGGGAATATTTAGCATCAAAACGGTTATTTAAACTCTAAACCCATTATTACGTCTCAAATTTTATCATTGTTCCAAGCAGGGGAGTAATTCACAATATTTTTGGATTAGGTCCAAAATATAAAACATTAGACTCCAATTTAGTGGTTACTCATTAGCTGAGGGAAATAAGGGTCCTGAACCTCAATGTCTGACGTGTCCCATGTGCGCACTATTCGAGTCTCACGCTAGAACAATACACTTATCCAGTATTCCTTAATAATTGTCTATGGTTCCTTTAATTGATAAAAACACTGGCACAGAGAATCTCCCATCTTTTTCTTTTTTCTTTAAAGCTTCTTCTTACACTTTATGTTATTTTTTAGACATTTGAATCAAATGATATTGGTAATCGTGACGAAATTGAGAGTACTGAGAAGACAAGTAATAATGAAGTTTATAAGGATAATATTGATAACAGTGATAATAATGATAGCGACATTTACGATAAGGTTCCACAAGTAGATGATATTGCCATAGTATCATCATCAACATCTGTTTCTAACGGTTGTTTATTCAACGAGACTAAAGTTTCTCAGACTTCTATAATTGAAGTGAATACCAATGCTATGGAGTCATCTATTTCAGAGACTAGTTCAGTGATAATTCAGAAAGATACGGATATTGTGATGACTGACGAATTGACTATTGTCTCTTCAGATGTTACTACCACTACTACTGATTCAGTGATTGTAAAAGATTTACATGACAATATTATTCAATCTAACAATATAAACAACACAACAGAAACAACAACAGTATTTACTAGTGACAACGTTTGTTCAATCATCCAATCCAGTCATTTATGTGGTGATGATGATGCAGTTCGTAAACGCTTAGCCACTAGTCCTATAGATGATATGATGATGGATAGTAAACGACGTGCAATAGAAACAAATTCAGTTGATTCCAGTTCGAAAATAACTAATATCATTGCTTACTGCCCAGTCACTTCTTTCTCTTCACAGCACACACCTCCTTCTTTGTCTTCTTCTACATGTCATTATGAAAGTAAAATAACTGAAAATGTATCTAATTCCGTGTTGAATGGTCACATCAAACTTGATGCCGAAAATTCAGTAACAATGCCTATAATTAAAATTGATGAAAAATTAAATGGAATAGAAGAGGATATTTCTGAATCTTCAAGTCATATGGATGATGATACTAATGATAATATAGTTGTAGAAGACGTTGTACAAAATATAAATGATAATAACAATGATATTATTGATACCGTTTGTAGTGAAGATACAGACTCAAAAAATCAATCAACTAATCATCATCATGATGACACAACGGTACTACCTCCACCTATTTGTACAGAGATCAGGATTACATTCACTGCTATTGATTTGGAATCACGGTTAAGTTTAACTGAATTATGTTTACAATTACCTGATTGTAAAATTGTTGATTCAGCTGAAGAAGCTACTCATTTAGTAGCTAAGCGACTAATTCGTACACCAAAAACATATATGGCTGTTGCATTAGGCTGTTATGTTGTAACACCAAAATGGATACAAGCTTCTGTTATGTGTGGTTATTGGTTAGGTAAGACTATTATTATTTTGAATTACATTACTATTCAGTAGTTAGATCATTCACATGATTTTATTAAAAGTTAATCAGTTAAATATTTCCTTAGATCTCATTGAAGAGTGTACATAATTATCCTATTAAATTAATTGTTTTAAATACAACTGTATTGTTACTTATCAAATTACTTAATTTTGTTTATGAAGTATTAGTTAGTAGTAAAAACATTTTTCTACAATCACTTCACTTCTCATCATAAAACGGAATATTCTATTCAATTCATTTGTTGTTTCCTAAGCTGAGTAGTTTAATCGATTACTTTGATGAATCTTGGCTACAAATATTCTTTATCATCCAAGTACTTCGCACAACCATCTTCTATTGTTTTATATGGGTAACTGCCTCACACCCGACTCGATTAAACTTCTCTGGTCACGGCTCCTCACTAGAATTCCTAGAATTACCGCTCGAAGCCAGTCACTAGTGAGCACATGATTATTATCAGTATCGGGTTGTAGAGATTGTTGAGTTTTTAATTAAGATCATGAACCGATCAATGTTAGACAACCATTGAGTACCTGGAAGCACTAGATGGTCATCTCGTCCTAGTATGGGACTCTTCAGAAGTGCGCATCCACGATATCGCGCATTAACGCTTTACCTCTAGACCACTGAGCCGTCATTCAACGGTTTTAATATCTCCACAACCCTATACTGATAATTATCATGTGCTCACTAGTGATTAACTTCGAGAGATAATTCTCGGAGTTCTGGTGAGAAACCGTGACCAGTGGAGTTCAACCGTGTCGGGAACTTCGTACAAATTTATCTAAGATAGCTGTTGGTTTTCGAAATAAAAATTCAGTTAATAATAGACTTGAACTTGGCTTACTTTAAGTCGATATTCATGTAGTCATCTATACATATTTGTATTAGCACTTCACAACAGCAAATATAATTTGTATTCAAGTTTTCAATTTTTTATTTGTTCACTGAATTGCGCTAGTTTTTATGTCAATCAACCATCTATTGCATTTTTTCAAACAATAAATGTTTTTCATTCCTATCATGGATACGTGCATAGGGGTGATCAACGCACCTGGATCCAAACTTATAAACTAGGTACTCGAACCCTATCCTACTTCGGCATTATCAGCTGGGTAATATTGAATAAGTCTCTGTACTATCTCACATAGTAAAAAAAACGCAAAACAATACTCAATTACAAAGAGAACAATAATTACACATATATTGAAATGAAATGAATAAATAACAAAGATTAGTCATATTTATATAACTGCTGCAATTTCATGACTATCAGTTAAATAAAAGGGGTCAGGATAATTACCAGTCTGAGATTAAACGGGTCTTCAGTTTTGGGCATTAAACTCAAATATTATTGGTTGATTCACTTATATCGATTTAGATTAACAATATCGTTAACACCTGTATAAACATTGTATCTCAAAATCTGAGTGTAGAAAACCGTACTCTAGAAACATATTTCATTAGTTATTGATATTTATTGATCACTGAATAGTAACCAATGTCATGTTTGTTTAGTCCTTTAGTGTTGATCAAGGTACAGTATGTCCCCTAGTTTAAGTGACTCAACATCTCTTGGACTATATTGATATGTTGGTCGACTGGAGATAATCGAAAGGAAGCTCCGTGCCAGTGAGGCATACGTACGATTTTGACGGAATTACTGTTCTTTGTGGGATTCAAACTTGCATCAGTGTTTCCCGCCGACTTATCCAACTGCCTAACACCAGTACTATATACTTCTTTATTCAACTATTCATGTCTATTGTTCTTGTTTATTATCTTAAAAATTGTCTACTATTTCTATCTAAAATGATTTCACTGTTGTTGTTCTATATTTCTACCTCAGATGAGACACCTTGGATTTTATCTGATCCAGATTCGGAAACTCAATTAGGTATTGATTTGAAAAAGTCAATTAGTATAGCCCGTAAACGTCAAATGATTGGACCAGAAGCTGGTCTATTTGCTGGTTTAGAATTTTGGTTTTCACCAGGTGCATGTCATCGTGAAATGTGTATTGCATTAATTAAAGCTGGTCATGGTATAATACGTCAAAGGCGGCCAACACAAAAAATGGCGTTATTGGCACAACCGAAACAATTGATTATTTGTCATGAAGATGATAGTCATGTGGCTAATTATTTAATGCGTACTAAAACAGGCAACAAGGGTAAGGTTTTTTTATTTTACCATATTTGTATATCAATAGAGCCTAATTTGTTACTAATGGTTTGTGGGTTTGAACCCCGTTTCGTTTATTTCGCTTTAGATAGTTATATTTTATTATTTACCCGTCATATTATAACAGAAAGTTGTTGGTGTTATGTATTTTAATGGATACATCAATCACGGATGTGTTGAGGAATAAAATTGTTATTTTTCATTGAACTACCTGACTGTTTCGTCATCTTGTAATCGTTTTCTCCCTATGAATTAAGCATAAATTAAATACGTTAAAATACTAAAACTAATTGGGAGAGAATTAATAATTAATTATCAACTATATAATTACTTATCTGGTGCTGATGGCTAGTTGGAATCGACAGGAGAGTTTGAATATTTGTTTTATGTTAGCCGACAATCATCATCAACAAGGGGTGTATCTACAATCCCACTTAAACATTTTTCCCAAAAATCCTGGCTGCTTTCATTCACTACCAAAGTCAATGACTAATATCATTAAACAGTGGTAAATTGTACAGATGTGTATTTTGATCAAAGTTTCAGGTCTATTTTTCTCGAAGCGTTGCTTATATATCCTGGAACCACTCAGGTTAGACACAGTGCACTAGTCCAAGATAACTAGTTGACAAAATAGTTAGTCGTCATTGATTGTGGTGATTGTGAAAAGTGTTACGTATCCACAACCATTGCGTACTTCGACTTGTAATGCTGGCTGGAGTGAAGTGGATTCAAGGCTTTTTATTCATTCCTTACTCTTGAATTTTATTATCTATTTCGAATCTATCTTGTTTACTATCGCTGATATTCTTAATTTTTTGTTGTTTTGTTATCGTGTTAATTCCATCTGCTTGAACTGGTATCGTGTGATGTGGCAACTTAAATTAATACATATATATGTTCGGTCCTATATTGCTCATGACTGACTGATCCACTTTTTTGACAGATATCATTCATTATAAAACTTTGATTTTAGAACTATCTGCTAACTAGCCTTAACCATCTTAAATCACCATCAGTCAATAAAATTCGCTCATTACTATAGACTAGATAACTTATCACTAATTATACTATTACTTAGTGAACTTCTAACTCTCCCATAATTTATGCTGTAGCCATGTTCTAGCATCTAGTCATTTACCGATGAATTAATATCAATTTAACTGTACAATGGATTTTATTATGAGCTGATGGACACGCAATTTGAGATTTTTAAATTTTAGCTTGTTTAGTCGAGATTTTTTATCCAAAGTTTGATTTTTTAATAATACTTCTGCCTTCAAAGAATGTGAGCACATGAGTTTTCTATGTTCCTTCCGTCTTTCTTTCTGTATAGTAGACATACTCATAGCTTAAGGTGTTTAATTTGTCTCTAGAAAACAATCATTTATATAAATAAAAATCTATTTTGTAATCATGTTGATTTTATAACAAAATTACGTATATTTTTCATCGTCAAGCGTAAAGTAGAGAATAGATTATCAAGAATTATCAGTTATGTTGTTTTCAGTTTGAATCTGTCAGTTTTGGTCATGTGTTGTAAATTGAATATTTTCACCTCATCATCTCTATTCTTTTTTTCTGGTTCACTATTATTTCTTCTTTTTCGTTGATTCTTTCTTCGTAAACTTCTAGCTGTTCATCATGAAGAGTTTATTCTAAGTGGAACTCTACGTCAAGAACTTGATTATGATGCTTATCAAATTCAATATGTAAGTACATTACGCAATAGTTTGAAAGCTGCTGTTGCTGCCGCAGCGGCTGCCACTGCCTTATCTAATAATAATAATAATAATATCAAAAATGGTAATACTAACAATAGTAATGCATCAGTTACTATTCTACCACCACCTACATCATTAAGATTTGATAATCATAGTAGTAATAATAATACTATTATAGATACTCAAAATATTTTATCATCACCATTTGGGGGACTAATTCCTCGTTGCCAAACTGATCCGTTAATAAACAATCAACAAATTCACTTATCGTCGATTATTCAAAATCCTTCAAGTCAACAATCCAATTATCCATCAACAACATTCCATCAAATAGTCGTTAGTTCATCATCTATAACAAAAAATACATCGTCTATGTCTAATGATGTTAAATTTATTCGGTCGACTATCGCTAGTTGTAATGATGTCCATGATACACATATCCTAACTGATTCTTATGTTACATTATCTTCTTATAAACCCTCAACGAACATCCAGTCACTTTCAAATAGTCATCTTCAACTTACATGTTCTTCTGATACTTCATGTCAGTCAGTAATTAATAATACAACTTGTCGTTTAGTATCAAAAATCACTAAAGCTGATACTAATCTCAGTTATCTTTTATCACGATCAAATACGTTAGATCAAATCTCAATTAAAAATAATTTAACATGTAGTCTTGAATGTGATATAACAAATACATTGTCTACATCATTTCCATCCTTATCATCATCAGGTTGTATGTTATTATCATCAACTATTTCACCGTCAGTATCATCCCATCAAGATTTTGGTGATATGCAATTAGATAGAACAATTGGTGCGTTTAATAAGCCAATATCTGATTTAATCATATCAGTTTGCAATGTGAATACATGTTCAACGATGGATTCACTCAATACTAATAATAATGATAAAAATAATTCTATTATGCTACCACCGAAACCATCTGCTACTGCATATATTGCTAGTTTTGATAATAAACGACTTATTATTGGAAATAATCGATCTACAAATAATAGTTTATTATTAAATTGTACTAGTCCAACAGTTTCTGATGCATTTTTATCTAATCAAGAAACGAAACCAAATGTTCTACATCGTTCCGTTACACCATTGACTGCAATGATTGTAGCAGCTGAATCAGTTGTTGGAGATTTAATAAATCCATTATCTATATACGATACAAATAACATTCCCGTTTGTTCTATTCAGTCAACATTTATAATATCGAAACCAAGTGGTTTTCTTAGTCAATTGTCTAATGTAACTGGTACTATTACTAGTAATAGTAGTAATAACAATAGTAATAGCAGTAATAATAATAATAGTAGCAGTTCCACAGTCAATTTAAATGCAAGAATAGCAGCTGCAGATGCAAATGCTGTGGCCAGTGCGACAGCGGCTGCAGCGAGTGCATTAAACAGTAGTAACCATAACACAGGTGTTATTGTTGTCAGTGCTAACAGCGGTTGTGGCAATAATAATAATGATAGCAATGCTGAAATTATCAACAAAACTGGCATAGGGCTAACAGTTTCAACACCTGTAATAATTGTTGGTGTTGGTAGTGATAGTGGTCTTGGTATACCGATCCGATCATCATCATCCTCATCACGAGGCAATATATTGACTGCAAATAATACATTTCCTTCATCTGAATTAATTGATTCATCAAGAAATTTGTTATTTAACATTCAACAACAGCCGGTATCCTCTCCCTCTGTCGCTTTCACCACATCATCACCAACAAAATTATCATTAACAATTGGATCATTGGATGTAGTGAAAAATCTTATTAAAAACCAAACTGATTTTAGAATGAATAATTCTCTCGTAGACAATATTACTATCAGTATTGATAGTATTGGTAACAATAATACTAATAGTAATAATCACAATAATAATAGTACTACAACGGATTCATCACTCATTTTTCAATCATCTGTGCCACTACAACAATCTTCGCACAAACTAATATCTTCATCAATTCCAGTGAATACAACACATGACGACTGTGATAATAATGTTAGTGATGCAGTCAGTCTTCCATATTCCTTTTCATTATCATCATCATTGTCATCCGATTTCGCATTGATTCATCATAATACAGCAATAACAACAACTCACAATATTGTTCTTGGAAATACATCGAATTATTTTGTTGTCCAATCATCGTCCTCACTGACATCAGTAACTACAACATTGTCATCTTCAATGCCTGTATCGTACACATCGAATTTAATTCATTGTTTGGATAAAGAACATTCATCCGTCTTCTCCACTTATCAAACTAACAGTAATAATAATGAGTGTTCTGAAATATCTGATTCACATATTGAAAATAATAATGATAATTCAATTATGACTACTGGTGGTACGGCTGCCAATACTACTACTATTTGTAACATGACTAGTGATAATAATGCAGTTGTGATGACGACTCCTCTAACAGAATTATATTATCCTAATATTATGAATGAAGATAACATCAATTGTAATAACAACGATATTGTGTGTACAATACAATCAACTACCCTTAATATACAGACATCTTCGAATTCTACAATCTCTTTTTGTTCATTGCCGTGTTCTATACCATCAATAATACCATCGTCAACATCTACAACGACAATAACAATGTTATGATGATCAGATTAATTGACTCAATGGTAAGCACTTTACAGTTTGTTTTGTTTCTCTTTGCATTATAAAGTTATGAATATTAGTAAATTCCTAAATAATGAAATTATCCCAACTGAAATCCCTAACAGTTGTTGTTGCCTCAGAGCTGGCCTGCGTCAACAACTAAATTAAGGATAGGGAGTGAAATAGTCGGACGCGTTAACAACTTCAATTATCTTGGAAGTCTGATCAGCCATAATGGGTTGGTGTCTGACGAAATCTCAGCACGGATTCGAAAAGCTCGATTGGCTTTTGCCAACTTACATCACCTATGGCGAAGTCGAGATATCCGTCTATCAATTAAAGGACGAGTATACTGCGCAGTAGTTTGTTCTGTTCTACTTTATGTCTGTGAAACGTGGCCATTAAGAGTAGAAGATACTTGTAAGTTACTAGTATTCGACAACAGATGTCTTAGAAATATTGCTCTCATTTGCTGGGATCACCGGGTAAGTAATAGTGAGATTAGACGTAGGGTACTAAGGAATGGTGATAAATCAGTTGATGAGATTGTGAATCTTCATCGACTGAGATGGTTGGGCCACGTGCTACATATGCCTGAACACTGATTATCAAGACTCCCAATGCTGACTAGTGTTGGAGACGGTTGGAAGAACGTTAGGGGTGGCCAAACCAAAACCTGGCATCAGTGCTTGAAGTTACTAACTTCTAGTCTGAGTCATGTTGGGAGATGCAGACTACTTGGTTGGGGTTCGCTTGACTATCATAATCAATGGTTGGAGACTCTGGGTGACATGGCTCAGAATCGATCACAATGGCGTCGGTGTATACACTCTTTGTCTTCCTTTAAACTATGAGATTAAGATCGCTTCATATTTTTCCTTCTACCAAATAATTCTTTCTTTCTGTAATATATCGTTATACACAATCAAACATTTTATGAGCTCATTAACTCTATCTGAATCTTCGCTACATCATGATACACATGTATTGATCCTTAATCACACTCTTATGTATAGATATGTCAATATCTGTAATAAATTAAATTTCAAATAATTTAGGTTGTAAGCAGCTGATGAGAACCTAACGACATAAAATGAATTCATATCATTCTGCACCAATCTTTGTTCTTGCTCTCTTTAACAAGATAAATAATTGATTCATTAGTCTTAGTCGCTTGGTTCTTCCCATCGATGTTCAACACTGTCATTGGTCAATCTTTTTTGACTTATCATATATGGGTTCTGTACGGATTGCCTCGATATTACTATTAAGTCACAAGCATTTAAGCAGAAATGGATAATGGTTAGTTGTGGAATCCGGAGCATGCCTTTCGTTCTAATCGGAATTTGTCAGCTGAATGTATCTGAATCCCAGAGTCGGTGTTCACTCCGGAATTAAAATTCACCATATTGCACAAGTCAGTGGTTATCTGGACTCATAATCTAAGTGAATTAGGCGTTGGTGTCTGAGTCAAAAGGCACTGGGTTCGAATTCCAGAGTGAACATCAACTTTACGATTCAGGTTCATGAAGCTGACGATTCTCAGATAGGACGAAACACTTGTTTTGCATCTCATTGCTAACAACCATCCGTCCCTGCTTAAGATAAATAACTAGCTTCATTGATTTTGTTACTGTTTAACTGAAGAATATATATATATATATATATATATATATATATATATATATATATATATATATATATCAGTGTTTTCTGTTCCTAGGTTATGTCATTTTCTATTGTCTTCTGATGGTATTATCTGTGTCGTCTCAATGGCTTCTTCTTAGATGCTTTGCTCATTGCAATTCATCACAATTATGTACATCATATTGCTTCTACTATCATCATTGATTTTTGTGCGACATCTATTACAAAATATCGATCCAAACAGTAGTATTTTTTGGAAGAAAAAGCTCAAATCTGTTACTTGTTTGATTTCTTTTGTTCTTGCAGAACGTTCTTACTCCTTATCAACATTAGTTATTCTTTTTTGTTTGCCAATCCTCCGTTTTTTTTATCAATTGTATTTCTTACTGGGATTATTTCCAATACCGTCAATCCTTTCCTTTTTTAAATAACACACGTTCATGGTCACCCTTATAGTCTACCTGTAATTATGCACACACATACGTGAAATACACTTATCATAACATTTCAGCTATATATCACCTTTAGGGTTGTCTTTTTAAAAAGTCCTTATTATGTTATATACACAGAGTTTCGCAATGGTACTTATGTAATTCTTGCCAACATTTGTTTCTTTTGGTTGTATTATCGTTTAATGGGGATACCTTTACAACATACTCTGTAATGTGAAATTTGTATTCAGTAATAACTTAATACATTTGCCTATTCATTGGATTGTATTTCTGTACATATATATATATGCCAGACATGTAGGATAATATATACAGTGACGATGTTCATATACAATGTCTTGTAACTCATATTGTTCTGTTTTGTTTATTTGTTTCTTTCATTTGTTTGTTTGTTTACTACTGACTTATATATTTTTTGTACATTTTCCAAGTGTTATCCTACGCGTTACTCTTCTTCATTAATCTCTTACTGCTTTCCCTTGTTATTATTATTATTATCATATGGATATCTTTAATTTCTTTTCTTTAAAGTGTAGTTGGACATACTCGACATAAATTGATAATAAATAATACATATATATGTATAATTATGCTTTTTTTCGTCTTATAAAGTATACTACTAAGTGTAGGTCTTAATTGAATACTACTTCAGGCATTTACACACATATTTACTGATCATCAACAAACTGCTCCTCGCTTTCTAGTTAAATCAAGGTAATTTTTTGGCCATTATAATAATGAATTTATCAATAGTTTAATGGGACGGAGACGTTGTCTTGGAAACTACATTGCCAACCTCATCTTTTTGTCTTTTCAGTTGACTTGAAGCACATTAATAAGGGGCCAAGATTTTCCTGAAAGTAAACTACGTTTTTCCACTTTAAATACTATAAGAAAATGGTATCTGCTAAAAGAAAATTAACTGATAAACCTCAGATTAAAACACTTAACTTTTCCTATGAAAAAAAGTAGTATAAAGATATCATGACTTGATAAAATTATCAACAAGAAATCTAAACCGGTCAACTTAATAATTCATTGAATACTTTTTTCGTGGGAATTATCTGAGCACTTCGATTACTGTTGTTGTCTCTGTGTTATTTTGGTCCATGATGAGGATACCTCATTGTGTAATTCTAAACTTTGATTCCTAAAGCTTACTGTCGATGATAGCTATGTATGAAATGTATATCGTCAAATAACTGCGAAACAACTTTACCAGCTATTTGGGTGTGAGTCTCACTCTAAATGTGAAAGGTAATGATACTATCCGGTTGCTTAAACCAAAGTGGATGAAGGGGGATTTGAACCTGGGGCCTAGTGGCTGAACTCCCTACCTATTAAACCATCACATCACCATATGTAGATGAAGAAGACTTTTATGATCTGAATTATATAAGGTGGTTCGAAATTGATGGACAAAAATTAGCGAAGTAATTAGTCATTTCAATTTAGGATTCAGTTTCTTTTATTCTATTGAGTTATAAACCAGAACTGTTCAGTGAAAACTTTGGTTATAATTGGTGTAAAATCTTTTTAGGTGAAGAAAATCTGTGGAAAATTCCCGTCACCATAAACTCAGCGAGCTGACTTTCAAATTGTTTAAATAAAAGTAAAGAATACTATTAAAATTTCTGAAATTTCAGCTTCACATTCTTTTAGGAAGGTCTAAAATTGTCTTCGTTTTTTCTATTTATTTATTCAACACTCAAGATAACCAGTGATGACTTAATTTTCATAGTTGCTGCAATAACTTGAGTTATTCTCTGATTGGTCACTATCTTATTTAATTCGTTACTTTACTTTGTCCCCAAATTCATCTTTGTCATTATATAAACAAGTTAGTCGTATCGCATTTCTTGTCTTTCTTGGGAATCATTACGATTTCGAAGCAATTAAATTTGAAGCACTGTTATAATGTAGCTCAAGTCAGTATTAGACTTGATACTTCACATTTACAGTATAATTTGTCAGTAATGGAGAGGTTTTAGGAGTTGGATGTTAATAGTTCATTTGCTGACTGATATAACCTAATTGCTGTAATCTTGATGTTGAATAATTGAGGATCATACTTCATATATGGTACAGGTTATATTCCGAAAGGATTAAATCTATACTCTACATTTTATTTTGATTTCTCTCAAATAAGTAGTCATACTTATAAAACAAATATATTATTAATTTGATCACTTGCCCATAGTTGAATTGTTCAGAGAAGGAAATATTTAATTTTTATAGTTATTTGTCCTATGGAATATATTTGGTTAATTCGAATAATATCACTGAACATATCTAAGCAAAGCGTAGAATTCTCTTAATTTGAATGGTCTATTATTTTGAAAGACAAGACTACATTTTTCTGCAGAAATCATAAAAGTATGATTATATAATGTACTTGAAAAAATTGACTTAATTCTTCTAATTAATTATCGAACTGAATGATCCAGTGTCTGGGAGAGGATTAGATGTTCATGAATTTATTCTATTAACATAAATAGTTTATAACGAAGAATACATTACCCTGTGAGAACACGATTTAGAAAAAATATTGTTTAAAAGAAATCATTTCAAGTGAAGAAGACGAATGGTAACAATGATAATTACTAATACATAACCTTAGATTAGAAGAGAAGATGGATCTTTATAAAGAAAAAAAGAAAGTTCTTAAAACTAGAGATAATGTACTATATATAAATGAACGGTTACTTAGAACTTATGTACAAAATTTTAGGAATCGAACTGACTACAAAATAGATTGTATTAAAAATAATTATTCAGTCTAAAGATTTATTAGGAAAGCAGGCTACAGTTTATAGACGTCAGACATAATGTTATTTCGGTATAAATGTGAGACCAATAAAATAACTAAAATTTTCAACGAAACTTTTCCGATATTACTGT